CATTTATACATAGATATTGTATTAATGAAATTTAATGTTTTTTAGATTCTGTATCAACAAAAATTTGTGCCTACACATCACATTTATTGTTTTTCGTCTACAGTCAAATCGCGATAGTATAAACCTATTTCAATAAAGTAATTAGCCAAAGCACTTTAAACTCATTTTTTTTGTAATAAAATACATTTAATGCAAAAAAAGATATATTTTCTTTAACCCCGCAGGCCCTAAATGGCAGTCTCGTCGGAAAATGATAGCTCCTACATTTCATATCAACATTCTTAAATCTTTCATAAATGTTTTCAATCAAAACAGCAGAAAAGTAGTTAAGAAAATGAGGGCCGAAATCGGTAAAACATTTGATGTTCATGACTATATGTGCGGCACCACAGTTGACATTTTACTCGGTAAATTATTTTAGCAATTTATCAATATTAATTATACTGCATGAATAATCAACTATTATTCGATTAATTCATTGTATACTAATTTTGCATAAAAGTTTGCTTATTAAGGGGCAGTTCACTTATTCCAGAAACCGTAATGGGAATTTCAAGAAAAACACAACATGAGTCTGGATTCAGTTATGCGATGGCTGTTATGAAGTAAGTATATTGCACAATCTTATCGACAAAACAAAGTACTCCTAAAATTCTGTATGCTTATTAAAAAAAAGAATATATTCTGAGAATAAACACAAATAAATAATTAACAAATTAATTATATATATTTCTCAGCCACTTGGTTAAAATAGTCGTTTAATTGAGCAGCTAGCCATTTCAATTAATGGCACAATTCAATTGCACGCCTAGTTTTCTATTTGATTAATTATGACATTTGGACCGTTCAACAAAACGTCTGTTAAAAAAATAACCTCGAAATTTAAAACAATCGCTACTATCGGTCACGTGACCTATAAAACTTCGTTGTTTATCATTTAATGTTATTATTAACTATTGTAGCACCAAATTTCAAAATCGTAATAAATATACTAAAACAATCGCAGTCAAATACATTGCTTACTTTCGACACACACACGCACACGCACTCACATATATGTTTGACAGTAGTTAAAATGGGTTCATATTTGAGGGAAAGTGAAAAGCAAAAAAGATATATGCAAACTAAATATACTAAGGAACCATCACCATCACCAGCCCTTTTACGTCCCCACTGCAGGGGCTCAGGCCTTCCTTATGGATGGTTAAGGAGGATGGGCCATGACCCTCCACGCTGGCCCAATGCGGATTGGAGGGTATTATATATATAGATAGATGTTTAACGTGCCTTCCGAAGCATGGAGTAGCTCGAGACAATAATTTTTTGGTCACCCATCCCGTGACCAACCCTTGCGAAAGTTGCTTAACAACTACGTTCGCGGGCCGCGGCTCTTATCTACTACGCCACCGAGCTACTCAAACTAAGGAACGCAAACAAAAGAATGTAAGAAACGCAAACTTTTTAAACTAGAAAAGCCAAGTCGATATAGAACATTATGGTAACTAATATTAATTGTTTTTTTCAGGATGTGTGACATAATTCACAAAAGGCAATACAAATGGTGGTTACGGCCACAATTTCTTTTTAAATTATCGCCATTATTTAAAAAACAAACTGAACTTTTAAACATCATCCATGGACTCACAAATCAGGTAATAAAAAAAGTTATAAAAATGTGATCGAATTAAAATATAATCAAACTTAATATTTAAAGATCGATAAACATAATTTTAAGTTACAATACTATGAAGTTAATAATTTACTTTATAGGTAATCAAAAATAAAACAGAAACATATATATCGAACAAAAACAAAGGTATTTTTCCTCCTACACTAGAAGAGTTGATTCAAGATTCTAATGATAATAATAATGAGACAGAAAACGATATAAGAAGTGATGGTAGCATAAAAGAATATCGTGATGATTTGGACTTTATTGATGAAAATGACGTGGGTAAGAAAAATAAATAAAAGTTGTTTTGACAATAGTCAATATCAGCAATCCAATAAACTATTAAAAGCTATGCACAGCATAGATACTCAAAATAAAACCATATGCTTTTGCAGGAGAAAAGAAACGTCTTGCTTTCTTAGATTTAATGATTGAATCAGCTCAGAATGGCACCAATGTGATAAGTGAACAAGATATAAAAGAAGAAGTGGACACTATAATGTTCGAAGTATGTGTTTTGTTCTTTTATAGATATTATATTTGATAATAATTCTATAGAACAAATTTATCGATCCAATTTCTTGAATAAAGTTAACATGAACTAATTTGTAATATTATATTAGGGTCATGATACTACAGCAGCAGGATCTAGCTTTGTTCTTTGTCTCTTGGGTGGGCATCAAGATATACAAGATAAAGTTTATAACGAATTAAATGAAATCTTTGGTGAATCTGATCGAGAAGTCACCTTCGATGATACTGTTCGAATGAAATACTTAGAAAGGGTAATTCTTGAAACTTTAAGATTATTTCCACCGGTGCCAGCGATAGCAAGAGAATTAAAACATGATGTTCAGATCGGTGAGTCAGATGAGTTTTTTTATTACGTGACTAAAAGCATAAAAATTATAATATTTGCGCAATAAAAAATCTTGATCTTGTGGCTTAGCAGCTGGACCGTTTTATTAATCTGTAAAACAAATATCTCTCTCAACTCAACTGATTATTCTCAATAACTTATTTTTTGTTACGTTAGTTAGTTTAATTTTATCAAATTGTTATCAACTGATAATAAAATTGTATTATTATTCAGTAACCAACAACTACGTCCTTCCTGCTGGAGCTACAGTAATTATAGGGCCTTACAAGATACATCGCAATCCTAATTATTACAAGAACCCCGAAGTTTTTGATCCTGACAATTTTTTACCTGAAAACACCCAGACGCGTCATTATTACAGCTTCATCCCATTTAGTGCTGGGCCTAGAAGCTGCGTCGGTAAGAGAAAAAAAAAATTGTATAATCAGCTGTTGAGGGTTATTTGTGATACACTTCACAGGACTAGACAGATAACATAAACACCAAGGTTAATTCTACCAGTTTTGATAATTCTTTACGTTTCACTTTCATCGATCTATACGAACTAATATTGTAAAGCGGAAAGATTTAATTAAAAGGTTTTGAAACTACTGGGCCGATTTTAAAAATTCCTTTACCTCCGGAAAGCTGTTACTCACTACAAATATAAAAAATTTATTTATTTACTCAATTCTTCTTCTTTTCACGTCAATAAACTATGCCGAATACTATCCGTTATGCATCAGGTTTTGTTCTTGTATGATATAAAAAAAAAACTATTATACCTAATGATTTATTTGCAGGTCGCAAATATGCCATGTTAAAACTAAAAGTGCTATTGTCTACGATTTTACGAAACTACAAAATAATATCAGACATCCCCGAAAATCAATATCAATTACTTGGAGATATTATTCTCAAGAGATCAGACGGTTTCAGAATCAAAATACAATCCAGGAAAAATTTTCAAAATACTTTTTAACAGTATGATTGATATGTATTATAATATATATATTTTAATGCCTATTAAAAATGTGTTTCTAGTTAATAAAAAAGTTTTTATCTAAATATACATAGTTTTAATTTTTATAATATGTAATGGTTACGGTTAAAATATATATTTATATATTTTAAATACATAATTATATATTTTTAATTCATTTTTCTTTGACATAGACGTTAACAGTTTCATTTATACTCAAATTATGAGTGTTTAAAGGTTCGCCATATTGGGCGTTCCTCCATCTTGAATTTAGAATAAAATCAATTTATTCACCGTACATCATTTTAGCGAACTGTTTAATTTCATAGCTCTATTAAAAGAGTGCTTAAAGTATGAGGATTTCTTTTCTAATTTTCATATTTTTAAACAAATCCTTTCATCAATACCCATATCATATTAGTACCCAAAAATAACTTGATCGCCATCTTGGGACGTCCGCCATATTTTATTTGAAATTATGTAACTTGGATAATCAATTAAAAGTTGTTTGTTTACTCGTCACTTTAACAGTAAAATAATGTGCATGATGTTAAAGATCATCACAATATAAATATCGTATATTATATGTTAAATAGCCTGTCGCATCGTAATTATTTGATCAACCATGGCAGACCAGGCGACACATTTTCAGTAAGTAAATTATTCATATAATTTCATAAAACAATATTAATACAATAATATTTGAAAGGAAGTATTAAAATATTTAATTTAATGACACCATTGAACTCACAATAGCATTAAAATTGAATAAATTCCAATATTTAGAGAGAGGTAGAGAATTCAGTGATGTTGTTTTTCACCATTTTAAAAGTACATTATTTGAGGTTAAACTACTTTTTATAGGTAAAGTTTTTATGCAACTACTTTTTATAGGTAAAGTTTTATAGGTAAACTTTACCTATAAAAAGTAGTTTAACCTCAAATAATGTACTTTTAAAATGGTGAAAAACAACATCATCAGCCCTTTTACATCCCCACTGCATAGGCCTTACTGTTAAGGAGAATGGGCCATAACCCTCCACGCTGATCCAATGAGGACAGGAAGGTATTAGCAACTGTAAATGCAGTCGGAACTAATGAGTGGGCACATCACTTTCGTGAAAAAAAAATCATATAGTTACCTTATTAGGATTGCAAACATAAGTTATTCATATTAACAAGTGTAAAAGTAATTCTAGCTATTGCAGTTCATACTTCATTCAAATTCTAATCCTTTGGGTAAAAAATTTGCTGAAGTTTTTTACAGTGATTAATTCTACTCGACTATAAATACTAGTGTTAGTAGAACTTCGAAAACTAACAATGATACTGTTTGTTACCTTATTAGGATTGCAAACATAAGTTATTCATATTAACAAGTGTAAAAGTAATTCTAGCTATTGCAGTTCATACTTCATTCAAATTCTAATCCTTTGGGTAAAAAATTTGCTGAAGTTTTTTACAGTGATTAATTCCACTCGACTATAAATACTAGTGTTATTAGAACTTCGAAAACTAACAATGATACTGTTTGCTACAGAAGAACGTCTATAGTGTTGGAAGAAACTGACAGGTCCCCTTTCAGCACAGCGCGTATAACCTTTTTTATTTTAATAACATTGGTTACCTTCCTTTGGTTCCTTCACCGATGGCAACAACAAACGAAATTTTTCAAAATGGGCAACAAGATTCCTGGCCCCAGCACTCTGCCATTTTTGGGCAACGCGCAAATGGCTTTCTTTAAACAACCATCAGGTAAGCTTTACATCAGTCTTGTCAGAGTTATAGCCCGCGGACCGTCATAACTTAGTTCCTTTGACTATGACAAATATATAATCAAAGCTTAGTGCAAACCATGATGTGCTAACAGACCATTGAACCTTTAAGTTCCGGACAAAACGCAGTACGGTACGCTCTAGCTTCCACACGAGCAGACAGGACACTGGATCGTTATATTGCCCATCTTTTCAATTTTGAAGTTGATAAATAATAATAAAATTCTTTTTTATCAAAAAATAGAACCGGCGTTTTAAAAATCTAATAGCAGTCTCTCGTATAATAAACGGTACTTTCATTCTTACTCTATGGTATAATGAAACTGCTTTTAAGATAAGTAAAATTATAGATTCCGGTTCTATTTTTTGAAAATTTTTACTTTAAGAAAGCATTTTTGAAGTCTATTAAAAAAAACTCTCATAAATAAACCACCAGATATAATTATGGGATTTACGTAACAAATATTTAATGCATCTTTTTTTTAATTCTTAATAATATATTTTATGATGACATATACACTATCAAAGTTTTAAGCTCTTAAAGGCTTTAGGTTGTTGTGTATTCTTTTTTGGTTACCGACCGGCCCTCGAGATATTTATTGAGCGCAGTAGTTAGTAGGCTCCATCAAGCTATTCAAAAATTTTTGTCATCGCCAAAATAATTTCATTAAAAAGACTCTTCAACTCTTCATACAGACATAATGAAATTGGCCTTGGAACTAGCTCAGAAGTACTTGGACATAGGTCGTATTTGGATCGGTAACAAGCTAGTCATATTCCTTATTAAACCTGAAGACGTAGAAGTGATCTTGAACAGCCATGTGCATATAGATAAAGCTGAAGAATATAGATTCTTCAAGCCTTGGCTTGGAGAAGGTTTACTTATAAGTACAGGTACGATATTATCGTATTTAATAATAATAAAAACAACTTTTGAACAAATTCAAGTAAGCACAATCTATTGTGCTTACTTGAATTTATTTTTGACTTATTTTACGTTACTATATATTAAAATTTCGCTACTGGTGACTACTGTCTAATATTACCTTTTTTTATTTATAGGATTATATATTGTTGATTAAATTATAAAAGAAATAACGTATAATATTTAAGGGTTTTATCTAAGTTAACCTTAAAATATCGTAATTTGCCGCCAGTTCTTAATTTAGTTTTACTAAGATTTTATTTAGAACACGAAGCCAGTAGCCGATTCAATCCAGTAAGCCAGTCCAGAAAAATTAAAAACCGTTATATAATATTTCTTTGGACTGAATTGATTACTTGTTGGAGTCTTCAGAGTTATCTCCACATATTTACATGAGATCAATCCTGATCTTAGTTACTGGATTGTCTTGACTATTGACCTGAAAAGGACCATAACACACGAAGCATGAATCATATCTCTTCCAGAAAGATTAAATGAATTATACTACATAATTATCGCTAATGTATGTAAAACGATAAGATTTCAATGAATTAAATATAAAAACAGGTCCAAAATGGAGAGCTCACAGAAAAATTATCGCTCCAACTTTCCACATCAACATCTTAAAATCATTCGTTGGAATCTTCAATAAGAATAGTAAAGACATCGTCGAGAAAATGAGACCAGAAGTAGGAAAAGTATTCGATGTTCACGAATACATGGGCACCGTCACTGTCGACATTTTACTTGGTGAGTAGCCTAAATGTTATCATTCAAATTAAAAATTAAATACAGGGAGAAAACTATTAAAAAATTAGTTCGCATCCATTTCGCTATATCGATATTTTTAAACAGTTAACCCATCTCAAAGTGCCAGGGACAAAGTGGATTTTTCAAGTATTTTTCACTAAGAATAATTTTTCAGATAACCTTAGTTATGAAGTTTATATGAACTTTTACACCACTGTCGTTAATACTATCAATGGATAAAAATAAACCCCTTATTTTACGCAAGTTATTGTTTCTAAAATTGACTAACTATCGGGCAGCTTTTCTCTAGCGTAAATCACAAAAGTGAAGAAATAATAATATAAGTAGTAAACCTTACTTTACCAACTGGCAATGGAAAGAGCAAAATATAAAGTACGAACCAAAATTTTTTGATTTAAAAAAAAATATATGTTTTATGTCTATAACTAAAATTAAGAGTAGATGTAAAAAGAAACAATTGCGGACATTTGTGAGTTTCGTATAACTTTACACTCAGGAAATCTAGTATTTTCTACATGGTCTAGACCCAAAGGTCAAGCTGACAATACATCAATGAATAATAATACCCATACAATTTATACTGTCCTAATGAATAATATACATAAGTAGATGCTAGTAATTATATTGACCTTATAATTATAATTTCATTTAATTACTTTAAACGCAATGCAACACGCGATTTTAACTGGATCGATGAAACTTTATCAACAGGATATCGGTTCGTTTCATGTTTACTAAATTGAATTAATTGAGAAACCTAGTAACAGAAGACACTACCACCATCGCCTAGATATATTAGACAAAGGAAATTAACATGATTTCAAATTTAATGATATTTGATTTGCAGTAAATACTAAGATTCTGACATAAAATATGATAATAAAGATACTTGTCAAACTGAAATATGTTTTTTGCCGATTTCTAAATAGGTTCAGATAATGCAAGCTAAGGAAATACTCGATTAAAGATTTATTTCAAAGTACAATTATAACTAACCGGTGTATTTATAATTATACGTTAAACATCATTTTTCAGAAACTGCCATGGGAATCACAAAAGAAGCTCAAGACAAGTCAGGCTTCGATTACGCGCTTGCTGTAATGAAGTAATAAAATAATATAATCAGACTAATTATAACTTTCCGTTGATAATACTATATCTTTTGATTTATCTACATATCTTAATTCTATTGTAATCTATTGTAATGTAGATTTGACCGCAATTCCGTCTAAGTCGCTGCAGAAAATTTTAACTTTAAAATAAAATGTCTGGTTGGATTTCAATTAGATAAGTATTTATTTTGATTTCAGAATGTGCGACATAATACATCAAAGACATTACAAAATCTGGTTACGAATAGACTCGTTATTCAAACTATCTTCTTTATACAAGCAACAATTAAAACTGTTGGATATTATTCATGGTCTTACCAATAAGGTAATGAACTATCTAATAAAATCGTTTGGTATATTTGTAATACTATTTAATATTAAATAATATTGTTAATATTATACACACACATATTTTATTATTTTATAGGTTATAAAAGAGAAAAATAAAACTTATATTGATAATAAAGCTAAAGGTATCATACCACCTACTATCGAAGAGCTGACCCGGACAAATAATGATTTTGAAAATGCAGCCGATACGAAACCATTGTCTGATGTTTTCCAAGGTTACAAAGATGACTTGGATTTCAATGATGAAAATGATGTTGGTAGGGATAACGCTATCTGTTTTTTATTAATTTGTATCTTATTACTATTGGTCTGTCTACTGAAGGATACGTTAATTTAAAATTCTGAAGAGTTTTAGACTTAAAACTTGAATTTAATTGTAAAAACAATATTGGTCGAAATGGAAAATAATCATATGCAAGCATTCTTAGTTTTATGTAATAATCTTTTATGCACTGCTGTTTATTTTGTTGTCAATGACAGGGGAAAAGAAAAGATTGGCATTTCTAGACCTGATGATAGAATCAGCACAAAACAAAACGAACTACATCACAGATCACGAAATTAAGGAACAAGTTGACACAATTATGTTTGAGGTAAATAATAATTATCCGTAAAGTAGATAATTAATATTAATATTAATTATTATTCCCGTGGTAACGTCTAAATAAGAAATGCGTTTAAATAACAATATAAAAATACTTTAGAAAAGAGCTTTTTATAATATCTGGGATCTGCATATAAGAACATTAAGACAAGCTTATGCATATTGCCGATGCAACCATATAATCTTCGTATATAATAATTATTATGAACTAAAGGGAAAAGGATGGTACGTTAAATTGACATATATCATTAAATAACAACATATTTTTAATAGTTAAATATTGAAAACACTATCGTGTTTCGCAAAATATCACACATTCGACCTATTCATTTATGACATATCTCCAGGGTCATGACACTACAGCAGCGGGTTCCAGTTTCGTCCTTTCAGTCCTCGGTGTCCATCAGGATGTTCAAGATAAGGTCTACGATGAGCTATATGAAATATTTGGAGACTCTGATAGACCAGTGACATTCACAGACACTTTGCGCATGAAATATTTAGAAAGAGTAATTTTGGAGACTCTCCGATTATACCCACCAGTGCCACTTATTGCTAGGAAACTGACACGGAATGTTCAAATCGGTATTTTTTCTTCCTTAACGTAATTTTACCCATCATAATGTTATTTTAGATATATGTATAAGCAGATGCATTTTTTTTACAGTAACTAATAATTACGTTCTACCAGCGGGTTCGACGGTGGTTATTGGAACGTACAAAATTCACCGTCATCCAGATTATTACAAAAACCCTGATGAGTTCAACCCTGACAATTTTTTGCCCGAAAATACACAAAATCGTCACTATTACAGTTACATACCATTCAGCGCTGGACCTAGAAGTTGTGTTGGTGAGATACTTTTGTATTCAATATTAGACATTCAGATTACTCTACTGTTCATCAACATAATTCATTTCTTACAGTTTTAATATACCTTGTAAATGAGTTCTTTACGTTATACACTCGAATTTCCTTGTTTATTATAATTATTTATTATATTTGATCAATTTCGCATTTTCAATGCTATATTGAAAATTATTCTTAATGAAAAATGCTTTAAAATACTCATCTCAGAATGCCAGGGGCAAAGTGGATTTTTAAGCATTATTGATTAAGAATAATTAATTAACAAATCATTAAAAACCAGGACGGAAATACGCAATGTTGAAACTGAAGATACTGTTGGCGACGATTTTAAGAAACTACAAAACGATTTCTGCTGTCCCCGAAAAAGAATTCACTTTGCAAGCTGATATTATTCTGAAAAGAACTGATGGATTCAGAATCCTAATAGAACCAAGGAAAAGGATACCCTCAAGCGCTAAGTAAAAAAAATATATATCTGCGTTACAATAATTTAAGTTTGTCTCCGAAAAATATCATGGATGTTTATTTAAATGGTGTGTTGTATATTTATTTATTACTGCAATAAAATATTTCATAAAAATAAAAAGTCATTATTTACAATATTATAGGTAGTTTTATATGTGTATCCAAAAAGTTGAATTGACGAGGTTTGATTTGAGGCATAAAGTACATTTTGCCTGCGTTAATAAAAAGGTAGATAGATAGACTATGAACTGGGGGCCAATTCCACTGATTTACAACGAGCGATCATCAATAGACTTTCTATAAAGTTTTTTGATTTACGATTTATATACAAAATTTGAATGGAGCCAACTGAAAAATTTCGACTAAAGCCAAGATTTCTATGGTGATCAATCGATTTATGGTTGCTCATCATCAGCCCTTTTACATGGTTGTAGAGAATTCATTGTTATTTGATTAATATTATCGCCTTGATTATTGATTTCATACGTCTCATTATTAATATATTTATTTGTTTTTGTTGACATATATATTCTTCTCATTGTTTTAATTTAATTAATTGTAATTCAATCATATTAATTGAGTAAAGTTATTTTTTGTGTTATTAAAATATAAAGTTTTGAATGGATGCATTGATGATATCCTTAAAAAAATACATATACGTATACTTCTCTCAATGTATAATTAAAGATCATGAATTTTTTAAAATAACATAGCTTGCATAGAATAAATAGGAGCGTCATGTTGTCCCTTACAATAAAATAAAAAGAGATATATTTTAATAAGCTTTTCATAAGTAATAAAGATATAAAGTTAAAATTCTTATACAAATATGTTACAAACAGAATAGAATTTTGCAATACAAACATTTTATAAATACAGTGTCAATTTGTGACTCTTTGAATAATATAATAGAAAAATGAGTATATATTTTATTGACATTCTTATTAACTAGAAATAAAGCTAATGATTTGTTTTTATTAATCAGTCAAGAATAATTAAGTTCAATATCAATTTCGTTTTGGAAAAGAGAAAAACTTTATCTTATACAATAAGACTCAAAAATACGTCGATTTATGCTTTTTGAGCGAGGTGCCTCCTTTGCGTAAGATCCACTTAAATTGAGAAAATCTAGTAGACCAACTTTTCTTAAAATTTAAATAGGCAAGAAACCGGCAGCTTCATTCTTAGTTATATTCATCGCTTGCGGTCAAGAACGCGACACATTTAATATATCCAACATTTCCTTTGAAGCTCTGGAGATCTAAGACCCTATTAATGAGAACTTTTAAATATAGTTTATGAGAATGAATAAATACGAATATTTCATTCATATTAATAGTAAACTACACACAGAAAGATGTCATATTAGCACAATATGAGAAATTTTCTCAATTTACTTTTAAGTCTTCCCTAATGAGAAAGTATTTTAAGAAAAAAAAAGAAAGCACTAAAAAGCACGTCACTAGATGGCGACTCTACCAAAAGTTGATTTTGCAGGAAACGAATGGATAGTTATTTCCGTTCCCTTTAAGATATTTGCAAAGTTCGAAACTTAGATATCAAAACAAATACAAATAGAATATCAGTTGTTTATTGAGTTTTGAAAATTAATTTACTTTTATACATGAAAGAAAACAGGAAGGGTTGTCATGGAGAATTCAATAAAATACTGTAACATTACTATAGACAGGTTTACTCTTCGGACGATTTATGGTCAATGCTGGCCATTAATATTTTAAATTATTACTTTTTCGTATTCAAATTCACGTGTTCGTGTTTTGCTGGTTGTCAATCTTTCTTTTTCTGATCGAGACCAGCATAGAGTGAGTATCATAGTATTTCGTTATAAGTTATTCCATGTATATTTATTGAAAATAAAATCAAGTCTGAAGAATTCTACCAGCTTTTCATTGCGCCACCCATCCCCACCATTAGAATTAAGTTACTAGAATATCATAGCGACATCTATTTTAAATAACTCCTCATTGCTTTGAAGTTTAAACCCAATTAAAGAAACTTCACAAATTTGTATTACCTGCCGTGCTGTTGACTGTCCAATAAGCTACAACTAATGAGACTCGCCCGTGTACCTGCATAGAAGGTTAATCGCAACGAGAAGCCAAGTGTTAGTTAGACGGATGCCTTATAGTGGTAAGAACAATGTGAGTTGTACGTTAACGCGTTCACTAGTGATCGCGTTAAGATTTGTAATCCTTGATAGTTAACGCAAGGGGCGCTGCACCGGATTTCATACTACAATGTTAATGCGCACACAGTCGGCGGTGAACGTAAACATTAAATAAAATATACTAAGCGCTCGGATGCGTTGTATTTTACACCTTATGATTATCAAAACAAGACTCGTTTTAAATTTTAATTCAGCAATCATGGGAATCGGCACGTCTGCTCTATGCAAACGTATTACTATGTTCCATCACTACGAAGTATAAAACAAAGTCGATTTCTCTGTCTCTATATCCCTGTGTATGCTTAAATCCGGAAAACTTATTATGTAATTGGAACTTACTGTAACTTAAATAATTGTGAATAACGAACTGGTCAAAATACTCTTTAAGATAATCCTATTTAGAAATATGTGAAAGTTTACAACAATCCTATTATAGTTTTATGATATTTTGCATCTATTTATCATAAAAAGAACTTGCCTAAATAGATATTTTGTACCAATGGAACGGTTCATACATTATAAAACAATAATCACTATACTAAACAATTTTAGTAATAGTGTCACATTTGCCCTAAGGCCAAAAGATCCAGGAATCGGAGCGACATAGCAGTCTGCCATAAACAGCAATTTTGTGTTTCATTTAATTGTCTTTTACTGTTTTCATTATTTGACGGTAATGATGATCTGAGATAACATTTTCAGGCTTCATATATGCCACTTTTTATCAACCAATTTTTGTTTTTCTTCTTTTTCCTTTAATTTGTGAAGCGGCAAGAGACTCAAAAATATGCCACGGAACTCCGGAAATCTCGTTCAAGTCTATTGCAATATTTAACTGCTCGTATAATAATAGATTTGATATTCACATATTAGTTTTTCTATACACCACATACTCTATGGTCCATAGCACAACACATATGAGACAACAGAAACTCATCGCCAAAAAGCAGAACAGATAACTGCCTGTGGCTTCATACAGCACTCCTGAAAAAAAGAAACATTAATTTATTTAAAATAAAAAAAAAAGTCGCAAAGCAGTTTTGGTTACAAAGTGTATAAATAATTCATTAAAACTCTTGGTTTTCCTGAGTTTTTTATAGTTGGTTTTGTCTCTAGACTAGTATAATGAAGCTTATAAAACTATTACTACCTATTCTTACTTTTAAAAGTAAAAGAAAACATGTTCAGCTAATGGACCGACAATTTAACATCATCGTCATAATCACCGGACCCACTTAATGCCTCCACAGCTGGGGCTCAGGCCTTCCCTATAAGTAGAAACGAATAAAATTGAATAGGAAGAATGGGCCATGACCCACCACGCAAGCACATTGTAGATTGGTGGGTGTTAACGAATGCAGAAGCAGCCGGGACCAACTGTTTAAAATTTCTTCCGAAGCATGAAGAAGCTCGAGATAATAAATCTTTGGTCAAACATCGAATGATTGCGGCTAATTCTAAAGTTATTTGACAACTGTATCGCAGACTGAGCGCGCTAACCACTGCGCCATCAAGAATCTCATCAATTGAAGGCAAATTTAAGAAAAACAAAAAACCGACTGCGTAAAAACGAATTTTAAAAAATACATGAAAAAATTATCTTAAATAAAAACTTTAAAGAAAGAAACAAGCCCAGTAGTTTAGAATTCTGTTAAGTAATACAGAACATAACGACTCACAGTCGGTGCCCGTTGGGAAGATATTATTTGAATGACGTTTTTACGCAGTCGGGCTTTTTGTTTTTCTTAAAATTATTTCTTTTTATTTTATATTTTTTAGTTACATTGACTTATAAGATGGCAAATATCGCAATCTAATCATTTCATTGAGGAAGTTAATATCGTGGGGATTATTAATTAACTTGCGGTGGTCTAAACTACTGATGATTAGTCCCTCTAGAGACCTAATCAGCTCAAAGCTACAAATGCTTTATTTTTTTACCAAAAATATTTGTTCTTCATGCTTTTTCACTGTTTTTTTTTTGTTTGCATATAGTTAATACTTTAAATACAAACAAATCAATAAGTAAGAAAATTACCGATAATGTTTTGTTAAACAACTTTAAATCGTAATATATCCTAAACTATTATTTAAAATGAAAAATGATAAAATTAACCTTAAGATGATTTTAAAAGACCCATTCAACAACACCCCATTTGACATATTTCATCGATTTTTATTTTTTCATTTATACAATATGGCGCCTGGTTGTCGCTGTGGTGAATTTTGATTACTGTCATGTCTTTAGTGACACTCGCAAGGTTAAGACGAATCGATTGACGTAAGAATCATCAAAATCGGCCTACGCATTTGGTCTCTAGAACGCCACATAGAAACATACATACATAGACTGATAAACACATTACCCTCCTTTGCGACGCGCAGTCAGGTAAAAAGCACACATTAGGGTCGGTGCTAGAGATGCGCCGAATATTCATTTGGAATTCAGTACTCAGCGTCTTTTTCGCTATTCGTATACAGGCAAATTATTCGTTTTCGAATATTTCTATTATCTTGGCTACAAGACACGATATAGAACTAAAAGACAACATCTTACGAAAAATTTATGTTATAATATAAGTCAAAGAAATCCTATTACGAATATGTTTAAAATAAAGCTGTGGAGATTCAAAACATAAATATTTATTTTATAAACTAGTACACTTTAAAAATATAATAGAGATCAGTAATATGGTAAAAGATAATCAAAATTAAAGATCATATCTGTTTACATATTATACTATTAATAATTAATTGTGGTAAATTGTAGAAACATAGGTGTTTGCAGAAAGAAAAGAAAAGATTTTCTGGCAACAAGCAGAACAAGCATGCATATTTTTGCGTAAGTAGGTAGGTTCATCGATTTCTTCTTTAATTGTAAACCAAATTCTGTCAAACCAGCTGCTTTTCCGCGACTTTGCCTGCGTAAATTATAGCCTATGTCCCCTGACTATTAAGTAACTTCCCGTAGGTGAAAGAATTTTAAAATCGGTCCAATAGTTTCGGAGCCTATCTAAAGCAAATCAAAAAGCAATCAAATCGTTCCTCTTTAGTATAGATTATTTATGTAGATGATTTCTTTTTTTCTTGGGTATAGATTATTGAAAAAAAAAAACAAAATAAAAAAAGCAAATAAACAAAATCTCTTTTCGCATCTAGTCGGTGCTAATCTGACAGAGAACACGCGTCGGACTGATGGATCATCTATCGAGTATCTATGATCGAGTATGCGACGCCAAATGTCATCGATTCTTAAACTATGTTTTAATAAATTGTTATATTTTTCATATGTATTGAAAATTCATTATCAATATCTATAAAAATCATAAATAAAATTATGATTGTAACTTTTAGCTTTGTATCATATGTCTGTAACCTCTCTTTTTATATTATAAAAGAACTGTTTTCCTACGGCTTCGCCCACCACAATAAAGCCTACGTCAACCGCGTATGATATTGGTTCCCGTAGGCGAAAGAATTTATAAAATTCGTTTCGGACTCATAAAAAACCTGATACATTTTTTTCCTTTTAAAGCGGAGAGCTAAATGGAAACTCATGTTGATGAATGAAAATGAACAACATCGTGGGCAAATTAACCCATTATTTATTTTGCCCACGATATCGTTACAGCATCCCATATGAATATTATAAAGAAGAAAGAGTTTTTAATATTGCCTCTCTATAACATTCGTATAGATAAACCCATTAATCTGTCCCTGAAATCGTTCATTTTCATTCATCAACATGAGTTTCGATTAAGCTTTCAGCTTAAAAGGGCAACCATTTTGTATAAGGATTGTATAAGTCGTCCCAGTATACAGTTGTATATCCCAGAAGTATAACTAAGTGTCTTACCTATTAATGGATCAGCCATAAGCATAAGGGCTCCAGAAAACAGAATGTGTAGTGCTAGAGCAGCAGGAAACTTGTCTGGCGCCGCCATGGCCAGCACTAATGGAAACAGTACTTGTACCGAACACCGCACTAAGCCAGATATGGCAGTCATCACGAACACGTACAACAGTTCACTTGAGCTCACCAGTGCTAAAAATCCACAATTATATAAATTGGCAATTATATACATAGCGTTTCTTATTGAGTACTATATACTCGTAAATAGTACTTAATAAGGAACGCTATACTAACCTAATCAACAGATTTCCTGATTTAAAGTCAGCAGGGCGTCAGGTAACACAAGGCTGTTAGTTTTAAACTCTAATGGGTTGACAATGGAACTAAAAATTAACTGCAGAATTTTGATATAATCTAGTACTAGAACTGTTGACTCACTAGGTACTGCACTAGAGACCGACTGCGTCTTTGGGCGATTGTAACTTACATATAAACTTCAGTTGAAATGATTTTTTTCTGGCATCTTTAATAATCACATAAAACCATCGGGGTTAAACTGCTTTTGATACTACAGTATAGCCTTTTTCCGCCGACTTATTTTTTTCCGTCGTTCAAAACCACCACGTCATAGAGCGAGAAAGATAGCAGGTATGCGATATAACTCAAATCCTTTAGGTGAATGACAAGCAACACGCTATCTTTCTCGCTCTAGTAGAAGGCGGTTCTGAAAGACAGAAAAGGATAACCATATACTCTAAAATCTTTCTCATACGCATGAAAATTGGTTTTCTCTTAATTTATCTTACCGATTCTCAGCACGACAGTTACGCACGTGCCTGCGAAAAATATTTTTCTGCTGTCCACAACATAAAAATATGTGAAAATTGCTAACAAGAATCTGGCCACCAGATCCGCGACGGCACCCACCATAACACACGTGGCTACTTCCATCTATGTAACAAATAAATGTTCATATAATATGAGTCCGTTAGTTCTTTATTGCACCAATATATTTTGACGAGATGATTAATTTAAATGAACGAAATTTTTAAGAACAAATTGCAGGTTAGTTTTAAAAAAATACGATACCTTCGTAAATCCGTAAGAAAATAACAGCATAGGTTCCATAGCCAGATATGTAACATCTGATACAAAAGCAAAACCTAGACCCACAAGCGTACTCACAAACCTAGGGTCCTTCAATAAATCCAATTCGATATTATCATAAATTATTTTTCTGTAAATAAAAAGTAATGATTTCTTATTATATTGTTATTTATGATTAAGTAAACGAAAATGTTATTGGAGTTAAAAATAGATAAAGATAATAACAGAGATATTAAAATTGAATAACTTTGTTATATTGAATACTTACATCACACTCTTTTGCAAGGATTCGTGACGCTTTTCCTTATCAACTGTGTCTACTTCCTTCTCCTCCCCTGGTAACATTTTTTCAACAGATTCATCACAACTTTCAAATTTTAACTTTTTCACTTTAGATATAGTTAGTTCTGGAACAAACGGACCACAAAAACACACATAAACCACATAAACACGAAGCACAACAGGTTAATTGCTTATGATAAAGCTGTTAGAACATATATTAGATACATTTTATAAGAAGACTAGACTAGCGACGTGCTGTATAATTATATATATATAAAAGAGGAATCTTGGATCACTCTGTAGAATGATGAAAACCGCATTAAAATTCGTTATGCAGTTTAAAAGATCTCAGCGTGCAGAGAGCAGAAAGTGACTTTTTTAATACTATGTATAGACAATGTAATAATGAAATAGAATAACACGAGGAACATACATTTGTTTAATTTAACGTTCAGCGTTAAAAAAATCTGACAATAACAATTCTTTTTCTTTAGTGCTTCACTCTTGACAGAGTGGTCGTGGTTTCAACCTCTGATTTGGATAATGCTTCCTGGGCGATGCGTTTCCACTTGTTGCGGTCTTCAGAGTTACGACACCATTAGATCATGGAGATTTAGGTTGATCGATCACGCGACCGCTTGCCTTCTACTTGTCCTTAAACAACGAGCCGTTCCATGAAGTTTTGGTTACGAATAATAAAGAGCATCGATTCTACGTCGCTCCTTCAGGCGTATCGTCCATGTTTCCGCTCCATATAAAAATATTGGCAAGACTATGGTTCTCATCAGTAGAACTTTCGAGGCTTTGGTAATGTTGCGGTTGCATCACACTTTCTTCAGTTTATCAACGGTGGATTTTGTGATAGCATATCTTCTTCGCATTTAATCTTCACATCCCCCAGTGTTTGTGATCGTTGAACCAAAGTACTCACTCATAGCTTCGGACAACTTGACGGTTGCCAATCTGGGCGATCAGGTTGATCAAGTTCAGCTCGGTCCACGATTATCATTTTGGTTTTATCTCTATTGATCGAAGTCCGAAGGAGAGGCTTATTCTTTCAAAGTTTTCCAACACCCCCTCCGTATCTTCTCTTGTTCGTGACAATGTCAATTACATAATACCAAATTCTAAATATAGCTTAAAAAATATGGAAATCAAGAAAAAATTTATATGGAGAAACTGTTTTAAAATATAAGTTTAATAAAATGAAGAAAGGGTACCGTTTAATTTTGAAAATGATAATTAAAGATGAAATCCGAAACATGAATGAAATTATAAAATATCCAGAATACACAAGCGTTTATTTTTCTTGGAAACACATTACACGGAATACTTTGTTACATACATACTCATAGTCAGACAAACAACCAATAAAACTCTCCGATTTTCCATAAAATTAAAGTTTTCTTTGTTATCGACAATTGATTAACAAAAATTACACTTAAATATGTTTAATAACTTACCGGTGCCAGCATCAGGATCATCAGATTTAATGAGGTGCCATTCAACAGGATGCATAACCAACATCGCAAAAACAAGATGGAGGTCCACAGCCATTATCAAAATCAGAGTCCACCTAAAGCCATACTCCGCTAGAAGATAAGTTACAAGCATGGGAAATGTTATAGAAGCCATACTGCTCATGGTTTGATTAGCACTCATCATGGTTGTTCTTTTTTTAATGAAATAACAATTAAAGGCTGTGAAGGAGACTGGTATCATGGCTCCGAAACCGGCGCCTGAAAAGAATGAAAAGCAATTGAATAAGTAATTATACAACAAAAATGTATTTGCAACGAATGGCTGTTTGCACGCGACATCACCCGCGTAAAACATAGTTATGTAACCTATCCGTCTCGAGTAGGTGAAGTAATTTTCATGTCCGGATCAGTAAGTATTTCCGATGATATCTCACTTACAAACAAACAATCAAACTTAGAAAATTAACCTCTTTATAATATTACAAAAAGATTTAAAAAAAAAGATTGAATATAAGTATAAACGATTTATCTTATAATAAAAATATTACCTAACCGCACAGACCGTATTATACCGTCTACTGTTTGTTCACGTTTTATAAATTTAAGCAAAATTTATGACGACAAAAAAATGTTTACAATATTTGTAATTGAAGACCTTGTCAAAAAGTATTTGTATAAATGTTATTATAAAATTATTTGTAATCTATAACACGTAAACATTTGCATAAATATTTATTTAGTCGTCATGTAATTACCATAATAATTGTCAAAATTTCGCAATTTATTTTCAAGTCTACCTTTAATGTATTAAGATTTAAAATCAAGTATGGAAATTTTGATAGATTTGTATAACCTGACATGCTACTGACTGTACCGTAATAAGTTACCTAAACTATTGTATTTTTATTATAGTACAGAATTCACTCAGGTGTCCGAATTAAAAAGCGGCATACACTCAACCTTGAACAGATAATAACGATTTGTGGCATAAGTGAAGCGAGTTTCGAAACGACATAGGAATAAAATATCTGAGACACGTTATGTACGTGTCAATCTTATATCTTATAATATTCAATCAATTTTGGTTTGTATTTTTATGTAAAAAATGGAATCAATAGAATTGCTACACTGAGTGACGTGAATTCAAACACGTGAGTGAACTCTAATTCGGGTTTGGATGTTTACAGAATCGCAGGGCAGATCACAATTTTACTCATTTATCCAAATCATTGGGTCATATTGAGAGATTTTCAATAAAGAATAAAATACATAATAAAATAGCAGTTTAAAATTAGTTTACCTCTTATTACTCCAAACGTAAATACGAGTTGATAAGTTTTCTGAACAAAAATGGTCATAACATCGCCTAAAACGAAGAGTGCAGCTCCTACGAGGCCCACTTGCCGAAATGTATACTTCTTCAAAGCTATTCCACTAAGGAAACCTGTAATTAAAAATAAATACACATTTTTTTTATTTACATGCCATTCTTGAAAACAGGTAATAAAACTCATTTAATTCTTTTGAGTAACTCGGTGGCGTAGATGATAAGCGCTGCGGCCCGCGATCGTAGTTGTTAAGCAACTTTCGCAAGGGTCGGTCACGGGATGGGTGACCAAAAAATTATTATCTCGAGCTACTCCGTGCTTAGCTCAATAGTAGATACTGTATATATAACCTCGCAATTATTTTTCTACATATATAATAATCAAGCCTGACTGACTTAAGTATAGGTATAAATTATCAACGTCGAAACTAATGTTTCTACCTAGAAACTTGAAATTCACTACATGGGGTTCTTTTCATGGTGTAAGTGAGCATTAGTCAAAAATTTTTAGAAATTCAATCCCTAAGGGGGTGAAATATGGATTGAAGGGTATGAAGTTTATATGGAATTTCTCTTATAGATTATACATAATAGGGTAAGGATGCCGAATATGAGATAGTCGCCAAATATGAGATAGTTAGGTTTTGGCAAAACTAATCGCCGCAGCCATTTGGTGCTACTGTCGCTAGAAGCCACGTGGCAAAAGATCAAAACGTATGTTAGTGCTTCCCAGTCCAAGGCGAAGTTAGGTTGTGTACACGTGGGTTTTCACGAAACCCCAAAACCAAATTTTCTCATCAAATATTTACAAGGTGTACTACAGCTGTATTAATTACACTGAATGATTTTAATTTACCGTCATTCTATCAATTATATCATGAATTTTATGATACATATGCAGTTTTATTACATTTTCTTTACTGAGAAATAATGTGCAGCCATTTTGTTAAATGTAGATGTCTTCCTAATATGAGACATGCGAGTGCTCCTAAAATGAGATATCTCGTATTAGGATATATAAAAATATGAGTATTTGAAAAATCCTTTTTACTAGATGGGGCCGATCAAAAGGAAATCCTGAGACCATGGATCGTGGAGAAGTAACCACAGATCGATTTTTGTGTTTGTGTTTAAATATCTAAGATTTAGAATAAAAGTTTTGACTTTTGTTGATTACTAATATTGTTTAATAAGTATGATTTGAAAATCTCTGTGATTATGATGAGTCTGACATAAATCATATCTAAGATTTAGCATAATACTTTTGTTTTTGATACTGTTTAATAAGTGCCATTTGAAAATCACTGATTATGATAAGTTTAATATAAATTATAAATATGTACGTTACATACATATATTAAGTCGTACTCAGACCTATTTATTTAGGAGTATGATGTTGTTAATTAGAGAATATAGCCAATAAAGTTTAATTCAAATTAATTTCTTTCCTTTTTCTCCAAATCTATACTCAAACCCTAAAGAACCTAATATGAGATACTGTCTCATATGAGCAACCCTCAGTATCTCATAATAGGAGACCATTTGCCTGAGACGTAATTTCTGAACTTCTTAATATTTTTTGATATAATAAAAAATATATTATACTCAGAACTAAACGGTCTCTCATAAATAAACTTCATTAAATACCCTATCAAATATTGCAATTTTCATAATGATTAGTGCAATAATTTATGTTTTATATCCAAAAATAAAAATGGTATCTCATATTCGGCATCCTTACCCTACAGGGCGATGCCACTGGCGGAAAGCTAGTAGTAACCTATATAAATGAATCATCTATCAATATACTGAATATTATAATTATTAGTAATTTGAACTATGTAAATTTACCACATAAATATATACATTCTTCTTGGTCTTTTCTTATGACACATGTGCGCACTTTACCAATAAATTAATCATATTTTATTTTACCAATAGCACGTCTGGTTAGTTCGAAATAGTTCAAAACGTAAAGTAAGTTCGAAATAGTCTGCGGCGCTTTCATGTTTTGGGGCTCAATTTTGCTAATGTAAACGAAATTCGTTTAACGAATTATAAAATGTCCATGATAGCTTTATAACATAGGTTTTGTGACTTTATCGCAAAATATCAGCACTGATACACCAAGACTTTATTGCACTAAACAATAATGGCAAGGCACTCTATAAATTTAGCAATGAACTATAAAAAAACTTGTAGTTGACAGTTGTCATTGGCTTTTGTATAATAATGTTGAATGAAATATATTATATGACATATGATTTAAAGCTTAAATTTAAATGGCAAGTAAATTACAAAAATTGGTCTCATTATTTCGATAACATTATCAAAATACAGGGCCTGATGTGCTGCTCTTGTGTATAGTTAAAAATCCTTTTCGTTTGTCTTGAAAATAATAACAGTCGAATATCGTCTTAGTGCACCAATCGTGGATAGAGTTGCGTAACTATCGATCAAATAAAACAAATGTACCGCTTCCGTATGTACGAGTATGATATTAAGTTACGGAAGTATGGCGGTATTAATTTCACCCGATCCATAAAACAATGCGGGTCTCATTACGTGTCTTGCCAGAGATGAAAGTTAACCTTTTATCAATCAAAACTGAAACAAAACATGTTTTAAGGCCAATATACTCCATTAGAAAACCCGCCAAGTACGGATCGGGCTCCTTCGCGAATTGTTCAGCCTATAAAAAAACTCTATAAAAAAATGCAAAATAAATCACGTTTGTTGTATGGATACCGTCTTTTAATATTAATTTTATACTGTTATTAGTGTAAATAAGTTGTTATAAAGGCAAAAGAACGTATAGTGACATTTTCAACTATCTACTCGTATTACGGTCCATGAGATACGGCTTGCTGACAGATGGACGAACGCACAGCGGAATAACATTAATAGGTTCCTGTTTTTACCAGATTTTTTTTACCTGTCAGACCAAATATGAAATCCACTTCATTTAAGTGAGTATGCAGCCCAGACCAGTGGCCTAACGTAAGTAGGTTCTAATCACGGAGAACAGGGGGCCAATTCTACTAAATAAACTTTGTTTAAATCGAACGAAACTACAATTTTTAATGGTTTTTCTTATCTACTAAGTGACATACGATACAATTCCAGCTAAAATAGAAATGGAATTGTATCGTATGTCAATTTGTAGAGTAGGAAAACCATTAAAAACTGTAGTTTCGTTCGGTTTCGATCCGTTTTCGATTCAATTTAAACAAAATTTACTTAATAGAATTGGCCCCAGGTTTGTATAAAAAAAATAAACAAGTTATGAATGTAATAAATATACTTAATTATACTACATAAATCAAGAAAATTACATGCTAAAAAAACGAGTTGTCTTAATAGTACAGAAGAATTCCAAATATATGATTTATGATACTATACGTTAATATATTTCGTGCATATTTTGAAGTCATTTGTAAATTCACGGCTCTCTAACTTGAAAACCCGTGATATAAATTTTCTTATAATCAGTTCTGCGGTGATCAGGTTATCAGCAGATAGATATAAAGTTGTAATTCGATGCTTTTGGACTTTTCACTTAATATTTTTATACAATTTTAAATAAAAATAAATATTCAAAAGAAATCGGTAACAAAATAATTTTATAGTAGTTCAATTTATTATAACGATAATTATTTATTACCTATACTTTTTTGCTCAATAAAAACACTGACACCGACTTTCAAAGAGTAATACTAATCGACTCCTTGGAGTTGATTATAGTTTTTTTTTGTTATTTAAAAGAAAAAAAAACTACATCATATTTCTTAGGCTTGTATTGCCGACAGCCTTATCATTTTTAGTTTAATATTTGGCCGCTTTAAGAAGGCTCCTTTTTATTTTTTATAATTACAATTATTTAACTTTTTTCATAAATATTGCTCTCTATCTAGTTTTTATTTTATGCATCAAATGTGTTATTAAATATATTCTTCTTCAAGTTCTATTTTATCTTCAATTTTGTTATACAGTCCAGCTTACATTATATCAGTCCACGAATAATCCGTGCATAAAAGTTTGAAACAGTCAAAAAAATTATTATCTTGATAAAAAAGTCAATAAGTTGGGAGAGATTATATTCTACTTTGTCGGGGAGGGATTAATGCAACGCTTTTATAATAATTGTTATCGTTTGAAAAAAACATATTTGAAATAGTTTTAACACGCAATTCGCTATGCGTTAATGCCAGGCGCATTAACATACATAGGGAAATTAGTTTTGTTTAAAAACACTATGTCAGTCAACAGCTCGCCAGATTATACAAAATTGTCAAATTCCTTCACTTGATTTGAAAGTTTAAAGTGTTGAAAATAAAGTTAAAAGTCAATAACGGAAATTCGACATATTATGGTGACCTAAATAGCTGCTGTGTGTAGCTACATTAGTAAGTATTAATGTAGGTAACATGGTAACAATCCCATCAGTAATTTACTATTCTAATTTTAATGACTATGACAAAAGTTTACAACATTATAATAGAATTAAATTTTAACTAAACAAATAATACTAATGAAGCAACATGTGGAATCACATGATAAATAGGTATCATGTGGAATATCGCTGCTATATATTTATTTTAATTTGCATTGTTCATGATCAATTTATTTAAATAAACTTGCTTTACAACCCAGTCATGATATTATAAATTGCATTAATTATACAATACAATTTTTTTTTTAGAATTATCCTTAATCAATATTAAAAATAGACATATTTCGTCGATTTCGAACCCTTTATCTATCATCAATAAAGAGTTCTCAAGCGAATTAATTAACAAAAACCGGTCACTAACCCCGTTCTGTTTATTCAATCATTGCTAAGCAGTTTGATGCTAAGCCGCTAAATAATTGAGGACAGTTCTATCTATGATATTTGAGCCTAACAACCATGTGAATTGGAAAATAATTACGTTAGTTCCAACCTACTGTCTTCCAACATAAGCGGTAGGTCACACCGAACAAATTGAAATCTATTGAGACAATAATACAACAAATATTGCCTATTGACTCAACTAAAAATACACACAATTAATTCGTAATGCTAAAAAAGTACAGATCAAAGTACCTATTGCTTGATATATTAATTATTACTCGTGGCTTGGCTAGCATGGTGATAGGAAATGAAATTTTTCACGACAAAAATTAACTTAGATTTAACTCTTCAATCCTTTATATAATATATATATATATATATAGCACAAACAGTATTCGTTTGCCTCACAAACAAACATTAGAACAAAGTGGCAAACCACGGTATAACACCAAACCTATTTCATTTAAGTATTTCAGATGTTATTTTCTTAGGTTGGTGAATTTTAACAAACTACAAAATTGAATTTTATCATAATCCAATAAGCAATTTTATTTTTATAAAATAACTGGAAGCGTTCTACTAAATAACATTTTTTTCAATTCCTATGATTTCTGTTAATAATTTAAAAGTATAAATCTCTTAAAATAATCAGTCATATATCACATAGATGGGTTCCAGTTTACGAACTATCTCTTGTTTTATTTAATTATTTTGGAGATGAAATGCATATATTGAGAAGTGGATATACCCTTTTAAATAAATATTAATTCACCAAATTCGAAAAAAAACTGAAAAAAGCAGTCGCATTTAGAACGTCTAATAATGGTTTATTTACTAAATTACATTATGCCTATAAAAAAATAAATTTTTAATTAGAAGATCGCACTTGACAACCATACTGAGAATAAAAAAACTGTTAACATTTATGACAGTCGAATAGGCTCATTATTTTGTTTATATAAAAATTTGAATTTGCGAAGCAAGATGAATGCATAAATGCTCGTTAATTAAATTTATATCCTACTTGACTTTAGATTAACTATCAAATGGAGTAAAGTTTTTTTTTTATAAAGAATGTGACTCTTTTTTTTTATATGAAAACTTTTTTAAACATGTTTAAAATTATTTTATAATATCATTTTTTTATGCCGCTTATCTTATAAGGTTCAATAATAATAATCCTATTAATAAAATATTATAAATGTGAAAAATTCTTTGTTTGGATGTTTGTCCGTCAATCATGCCGAAACTACTGAACGGATTTTGATAAAATTTGGTATACAGATACAGTGTTTATTTATAAACAAGGTTTAGCGTTGGAGTAAATTTACGCTGAGTGAGACCTCACTTAGTATTAGTCAAAATGCATATTATAGGTTCTACGGGAGTAATATTTACTCCTAGACAGTAGGTTATTCTTTGTATAATTTGAATTTGGACAAATACTAAAATTGCAATTTTAGCGTAAATATACTCTCTGTCGTAGCACTACTAAGGTATTAGCTGACTTAGATAATAGGATACTTTTCATCCCACTAAATAGTTCCCCAAGGACCACGAAGCCGCTGGCGGAAAGCTAGTTAGAAATAATCTCAATAATATACTCAATATAGGATTTTGTTTATCTTACAGCAGATTACTGAATTGAGAAAAGTACAAAGTCTCAAAGAATTATTCTCAATAACTTTAGTTTTTTACGTTTCAAAAGTAAAAAAATCCTAGGTTTATTTTACTGCTATCAACTGATAATTAAAAAGTGACGTTTAAATATAGTTTGAGACGTTCTTAACTTTAAATTCTCATTTCAGAAACTTTGAATGATTGTAACTAGGTTTTTCTAGGCTTTCATGAGGAGCTTGATGTCTTAATAGATTCATCCACTGTGTTGCATATTTGTTAGATCACAAAGTTTGTTAATGAAAGAAGACCATGAGGTAAATGTTATCAAATTCATTAATGAAGTTGGCCAATCGCTTAATATTGTCGTTGGTATCGACTTAGCCAACTATAAAGTATAAGAGGTAGATCATTCATATTGAAGAAAGTCATAGAAATGAATCCAGTATTTTGATGGAGAGGCCAATGTCATACATGATTCAGCACGCATGTCCCTATGTATAACTACAGACAGGACAGCAACGATAACATTAATATCTTAGAACTTTACATAAACATAAAGAGACTAAGTTGAGGAGTCAGCCCAAAACTAACCTCCAATATCTAAATATATATAATTCAAAGGTGACTGACTGACATAGTGATCTATCAACGCACAGCCCAAACCACTGGACGGATCGGTCTGAATTTTGGCATACAGGTAGATGTTATGACGTAGGCATCCGCTAAGAAAGGATTTTGATCAATTCTACTCCCAAGAGGATAAAATAGGGGTTGAAAGTTTGTATGAAATATTGTCAATATTAAACCGATCGGGCTGATACTTCGCATGCATTAATCCTAAGAAAGGATTTTCATAAATTCCACCCCTACGGGGATAAAATAAGGGATGAAACTTTATTTCAGGTATTTTATACGATATAATTACTAAATATTCGTTAGAAATGTTGCTCAAAGTAACTTTACCACGCGGACGAAATCGCGGGCAAAAGTTAGTCGTGTATAAACACTGAAGAAATAGATTTGTTTGATATATTAACACAATAACAACAGAGAAAAGAATCATTAAGAAAAAGTACATTACTTTTTATTTAATTAATAACCATTATCTTTTCTTTTCTTTGGAGCAAATGGTGTAATTAATGGTGATGAACAAACAGATGTCATGTGTTCATTATGTAATATCAAGGCTGAATGTAAGAATGGCAAGTGGCAATGCTTCTTGCTTTGGCCCCGGATGCCAGTGTCATGGAACGCAATCATCAAAATATAATACGTTAAGAAAAGAACGAGCATCACAAAGGCCACAATAGAAAGGACAAGATTTCAAAGTTGCTAAATTAAATAAAAGGAAAAGGTTTCTGCCAGTGTTAAAAAAACCTAGGTCCGTTGCTGTGTAACATCACAATAGTTCGGAAACGATTGGCATACAATGTCAAGTAAGTTATAATGAATATTGAATCTAATAGTTCAATGAAATAAAAGTTCATTCATTTAATAAAATTGCCGATATATTGTTAAGAAAAAATATAAACTCAATATTATTGATTTACATACCAGCAATTGATAATGCTCCATTGTAAACTCCTATGACGAGTGGCAGTCCACTTGCACCTCCTTGCTCCATAAAGAAGTTATTGAAAAGGATGCCAAATGCGTTCGACGATCCGAATCCTAACATCTGGAAAATTAAAAAAAAAACTTATCAAATCATGAATTTTCAATGTTAATGAAAATTCATGGTTTGAAAAGTCTGCAAATGTAAACCGAATACTCTACAAGAAAAAAATAGCATTTTTTAGATTCCACTCTTTAAGAACTCCCCACACCACAAATAACGGCTATAACTAGAACGATAGTTAAAAAATTCAATAAACTATCTCCCGCTAACTCGCCGTGTTTAACATAATTTTCATAAATATGAATTACGGACTGTTTTTTCGGGTTTATATAATACTTAAATATTTTAAAACTAAAATATACCGTTTCACACAAAAAAATCGTCATAGTCAAAAAATATTATGTATGCATAATCAAATCAAAGAAGGTACGTAAAAATAATTTGATTGATTTAATCGATAACATCCTTTTTTTTCTAAAGCCCACTTAAGTTTGTATTTTAGATAAAATAACAGATAAATAAATGTTTATCACATTTATTTCTATACGATAAACTTGTTTAAATTCAGATTATTATTATTAGATTGCAGATAGTAAAGCACAGGGCACAACTAGTTTACCTTCCTATTTTCAAAATACAATCAAATTTATCATTAGATCTGTTTCTTTAACATCTAAAGAATACGTGTCTCAGTACCTATAAACACATTTGTTGATTTTATCATTCATTGTTGTAAACCTTGCAGCAAAAATAAATTATGATACATGATAAATACGAAATTTATTGTCTTGCCCATGTAACATATGAATTATTAACCTATATTCCATGTCGTAATTAATAGAAATGTTTACAACAGCAAATCGATTTGATATGACAGACTGACAAATATCTGACCCTGAACCAACCCGTGAATCAAAATGAGGTGCCCTTAGAACTATTGAGACAGATATTTTATCACGTTCAGGCGTAGATATTTACGACAAATTCTATTACCTTAGTAACAGTATTTAATTTCATAAAAATAAAGTTATAACTTGTAATCATGATCGTGAATCTCGAAGAAATTACGAGGCTGGGAAGGAGTGAGTAAGCCGTTAGCGCCTTTTCGCACAAATTTAAAGTAAGTTTTTTTTTGTCTAATATTAAAATTTACTTAACTTATAAAATGGCTGTAACCTGCCCTTCGATTCTATAGAAATCCATACCAGAATTCGTATTCACTCACGTGTCCTGCTAAATGTTAAAAAAGCCGAATTGGATTATCTGTTCTTAGACGAATAGTCTTGTCGACAGCACGCAACACCAGCTTTTCACAAATTATTATGATGTAATACAGCTTGTAATGGGTACGCAGTAGGATACCATCAATGCAATATTTCGGCAGTATACCAAAGAGTTATTTCAGTAGGCTAGCAGCGAAATTCGATTTAATTCGATTTGCTTGGCATAAGATTCAATAAAAATTAACTCATTGCACGTTGCACTAACGCATGCACTGTATTGGCCGTTAAGTTTATTTTGATTAAATACATCATCATCGTCATCATCATCATCATCATCATCATCATCATCATCATCATCATCATCATCATCATCATCATCATCAGCCCTTTATTTCGCCTCCACTGCAGGGGCTCACGCCTTCTTTATGGTTGGTTAAGGAGCATGGGCCATGACCCTCCACGCTGGCCCAATGTAGATTGGCGGGTATTAACGACTACAAATGCAGCCGAGACCAACGGCTTAACGTACCTTCCGAAACACAGAGTAGCTCGAGATAATAAATTTTTGGGCACCCATCCCGTGACCGACCCTTGCGAAAGTTGCTTAACGACAACGATTGCATGCCGCGGCGCTTATCCACTTCGCCACCAAGCTAGATTAAATACGATGCCACTCAAATCAAAACTAATTTAGTTATGCCATAAACCCGATGACAAGCTATTCTGTTTAAAAGAAGCCTCCAAATCGTTCGTACTGTCACGTCATAGCACTTCATTCTAATTAAAGCTTTTTTACCTTTGGTAGTAAGTTTTTATTTCGCTCGTTCGTACTGTCACGTCATAGAACTTCATTCTAATTAAAGCATTTTTACCTTTGGTAGTAAGTTTTTATTTCGCTCCACGAAGCCCAGACTATTTTTATAACAGAACTAGCTTTTGAACAGAATTAACTGTTTAGTGGGGTAAAAAGCTTTAATGTTAATGTTAATTGAGACTAGACAGTAATTTTGGAGTTCATACATCCATCCAACATACATCCTCAAAAACTTTTGCTTATAAAATATTTGTAGGAATGGATAGGATAGGATAGTACTCCTGGTCTAGGTCTGATTATGCCATAAAATACACTTTGATGCAAATGGACTTTTATCTTTGTGTAATGATCAATGGATCATAAGAATAAACATATTAATAACAGAAAGTGAAAGATAAATTTACAATATTATTAAACAATTATTCATTTGCAAAAGAGGAAAATTTCCGTGATTACAAAATATAAATATCATCATATAAATAGATAATGTTTTTCTGGACGAAGAAAGTCATTAATTAAAAGGTCATATTAAATTGACACGAATGCATTAATTTAAATAATAAATGAGCGATCAAACGTAACCCCGGTCCGATAAGGATCAAGAAGTAGGGAAAAAAACTATACATCAAAACACTATAAAATCTATTACTAAAGTATTAAATAAATGAAATATGATGAATATTAAGATGGTTAATTTTATTGCATATTTTTTTATAATTTGCTTTACGAATGTTTAACGCAAGATCTCAGTTTATTTATCCTCTAACAAAGTTGTCATAGTAACTAAGATCTTCAATCTCGTTATTATGCAAAGCATTTTTTTCAGTGTAGTTAATTATGACACTTAACCAGATTATTTTAACATTATGCAAGATAAATACATAATGTATTACCATAATGTTTTTATAACAGAACTAGCTTTTAAACAGAATGAAATGTTTAATGTGATATGGACAATATTTTTTTATGTCATCACTATTAACGGGTGCCAATGACGATGAATGAATTTAAAATTAATTTACATATACCTTGATTTATTCTTCATAATGAAAATTATTACGACTATGATAATATTATTAAGAAATTTTCTTTTCATTATTGCAAAAAAAAAAATACCGTCGCGTTTATTTTGTAACTGCTGGGGCTCAGGCCATCCCTTTAGATGAAATCGAATTGAATCGAATAGGCAGAATGGGCCAAAACCCACCACGCGAGCACAGTGCAGATTGGTGGGGGTTAACGATTGCAGATGCAGCTAGGACCAACGGCTTAGCAGGTTTTCGAGACAATTAATTTTTGTTCACACATCCTATGACCGATGCGATCGCCCTAACAACTGTCCCAACGATTTGACGATGAGATATACCTATACTACCTGTAGATAAATCGAATCTAATTTCAGCCACTAAGAACTAAATCTAATAGAATGCACCGGTGACAATGAGATGAACCAAACAAAACATACATATAAGGTAGATTCGCGTATTTAAATGATGTGAAACGAAAACGGATCGAAACCGAACGAAACTACAGTTTTTAATGGTTTTTAATTAGAAAAACCATTAAAAACTGTAGAATTACTAAGTGACATACGATACAATTCCAGCTTAAATAGAACTGGAATTATCGTACGTCACTTTGTAGAATAGGAAAATCATTAAAAACTGTAGTTTCGTTCGGTTTCGATCCGTTTTCGATTCGATATAAGCAAAATTTATTAAGTTGAATTGGCCCCCAGGTATAAGTAACTAAAACTTTAGCAGTCCAGCGGTCAATAACAGTGGTCTTATTGGCTGAAAATACCTTTTATCTTAAAAATACAGCATAACAATTTGTCTTGAATTATAGTCTAATTAATAAAGAAACGACAATGCGAAACTTTAAAATATTTAACATTACGTTTATTCGCTGATTAGTTTGATTTGAAAATTGAGAGCAACTAATTTTAATTTGCAACTCGTAAGAAGTATCAAGACACCTGAGGGCATCTTCTATTTGCTCTAAAACGAAAATTCAGAAATTTTCGAATTGTTCTTATAATTTTGTTATGTTCGTATCCGTGAAGATTATCTGCGCATCAAATGTCAATTCATACGAATGTATTAATCAAAGATACCTCTGCGATATTCTACGTGATAAAGATTTTCTGCAAACTTGATTTAGTTTTACGGTCCCCTTATCTCTTTTTTTTTATGATAACTATTACACAGAAATATAATAGCTAATGCTTTTATAAACACAAAATAGGTCTTATTTAAATAGTCGCTGTACAAACTGTGAGATAATAGTTTTATTATTATCAAAGAACTTATCTCGAATATAACTCATACATTATTTATTTGTTTATTTTTATAATTTTTATCGACGAATTCTATTAATAATATTATAATGAAACAGATAAGATCAACTTTCATATTTATAAATTAATACTAATAATAAATATAAGACATTATTTTAAAATTTCACAACATCACACACTTTGCTCAGATTCCAAGATGAGTATCTAAAGCCCCCGTATTAAAGAGTATCTGAAACAATAAATAACCACAACACCCTGACCCTAGACAATATAGAAATTGACATATATAGGTAATATTAAATAACATCGCATAAATTGCTCAGATTCCAAGATGAGTAGCTAAAGCCCCCGTATTGTAGAGTATCTGAGACAACGAAGGTACCACAACACCCAGACCCGAGACAATATAGAAAAGTTTTTATCTAATGCTCGGTTCATAAGATAGATAATCGAGCGATTTATTTTCTATCTCAGAATGAATTGTAATAGGCACCGAGATAATTACTTAAAAATCACTAGTTCCAGGTATCTGGTAATTTTTCAGATATTTTACTAAAGATACCTATAATTTTATTCGCAATGGAAAGTAGAGGCGAAAAAGATCAAATCACTGTTAAAATAAATTAGAGGATTAAATACATACATACCTAGAAGCAGCACCTGCCACGAAAGTAAACCCAAATGAGGAACTTTTGTGCAAATTGTATATAGAAGTCTCTCTAATATATACGGTGAAATATTATTATGTGCCAGTACTTCGTAAGGTGGATGAATTATGAGATGAGTTTCATACAAAATTTGGTAATACATACTGTCGCCAAAAGTATGTAACAACTGATTAGACATCAGAAGGGACAGTAACAGGATAATATGGGCACTACATTATTACCTATCTTTTAATGATTTCTGGAGCGTCGTGGATGGATTATTAATTTTCGAAGCTCTAGACTAGTGATTACGACATTCTTTATGCGATGACAGACAGACGTTAGAGATATTGCGCAAAAGTCTGTCATGGGATGGGTGACCATTGACATCGAATATTAAATAACTATAACAAATTTTTATTATTATAAAAGTTATTAATATAAAATTAAAAACGTATTACTTCCTTACATTATTAATCATCAATAATCACAATGAACTGATGTTTGCCTATTAAAGACAGTGAAGTCCGGCATTCCGGCAAAATACAACGCAGAGTTAGGTTGCTTATTTTTGGAAGATGGCAACCCTATCTACAACTGGAAATGCCAAAGAAGAGCGATGTTCCTCTTGGCTGCGTCTACTACGCGGTTGCCGGGTTGCGAGTTTATGATAAGAGCCCAGAAGAGAAAAACTGAAGGAGCAGTCTAGGTAGACCTTCTCCAACACAAGAGAGAATTAAGGAAGGAATAGCGTATTAAACTTATCCTCTCCTCTGCTGGAGTGGGCTGATGACACCCACACACATTACACAGCTTTATCCGACTAAGGAGATTCTCCATTCCCGAGCCTCTCCCATTAAGTGACTGACTGATTATCATTATAATGATAATGATCAATAAATTAGAAATCACATTTTTTTGTGTCTGGAATTATTCGTTATATCCTACTAATAATCTTTTATATTTCAAATCAAAATTCTATACAAAATCGTTAACATTGAAGTACAAACGAAGCCTAAAAAAGGCAAGGCGTTACTTACAAATGTGAATCCTACACCGACTGCTACCATATAGCCCCATCCGCCATCAGGAGGGACCAAACCCTTCTTGAACTTCTTTCCACTCCCTTCGCAATGAGCAAAAGCCTCATCCATTTTAGCACAAAATAATTATTTAAATTACGAGGAAATTAAATATCTAAAACACGTGGTAATTATGTTCGCGTTTCTTAACTAGTTTAGTTTGTACATTTTGACTAAGTTTAATATTAACAAAATTGCTTTTTTTTTAGGCGAGTTAGCATTTTTGTTGTGGACGTCACTCGCGCTTCCGTACGCTACAGTTTGTGTCGACGTTTTGTGCGTATGTTCTAATAAGGCACCGAATCGGTGAATGAATCGAAAGTTTGTAACTTTACTCTTCATACATTGTAAGGCTTGTTTACACTACCGATAAAAACGATTAAGAGAAGACGACGATATGCGCCGCGATTTCATATTCTATTTACCTACAAATTATCATTAATCATTAGAGATGAGCTAGATGTGATACTGATTAAAGATTAACTAAAGTTCATTAGCATTAATTTTTATTTTAATATCAAATCAGCTTTGCCGAGTTATATCATCTATCAAGTATGATATATTTATTAATTAACGAATTATTATTTTTTTTATTTGTAAACTTTAGCTATTCATCTCGGAATCTAAGCAATGTACGATGTGTCTAATATATTTTATTTTTATGAGCATATACGTGTAAATTTTGTAAATATACCGACATTCGTACATATGAATCTCTGTATATTTGTTCATGTTATTTCGTTAATTAACAAATGTTTCATGAAAATCAGTTCAGTAGTTTTGAACTTAAGAAAAATAGTAAAATTGAAAAAATATAAAAAAGGCGAGTAAAAAAAGAGGTACATATAGAAACCTAAACACTTAACAACAGAGAAAAATAACAATATAACCGTGAACTAGGGGTTTCATATGTATCAGACGTAGCAAGGACTTATTTATAAGGTCATCTTAGACTACACTCAGTGTTCGATAAAGATTTTATATTTTTATTCGTGAGTTAAGACGATACTAATTACATAATAAAAAATAAAGCAATAACAACGAGTATTTTATAAATTTGATGTCATACCTGTGTTGAAAAATAAACAACGAATAAGGATAAACACATAAGACAAATTTCTCGACTTCGCTTTTTTTGCTTTAATGTTTTGAAGGTAGAGTTTAAAATCAACTGGAAAATTTTGACATAGGTATTATGGAAACTTGACGTGCAGTATGTAGGTACTATTTGAGATTGGGTGGTGGGTAAATATCGAATTCATCTTTGTATAATAAATAATACACTTAACCTATACAAATAACGTTAATAAATAAGAATATTCAAGATATAGATATTAGATACTTTAACTTTATTGCTAAAGAACCCTAGTGAGAAACCTTCCTAACCTATTACCCTCTGTCAGTGGACACATAGTGAGTAGATATTAGGTAAAGCAAAATAATAAAAAAAAATATCCGTATAGTGACACGGAATATCGAGAGCTAGGTTCGAAGAGAAACGCAAAAACATTGTTGTAAGATATGGTGGAGAGGATAGTAATAGGAAGAATATGAAATAGAATGCTGTGAGCACAGCATACAGCAATTCATATTAATTATAGCTAATTCTTCCTATTCGATTGAATTCTAGCTGCAGGCAAGACCTGTGCACCGATGTCTTATTTATAAACCCTATATGATAAATGAAGTTTGCGAAAGCAAGAGGTAGAAAATCATACGCTAATTCTGGTGACACAAGATATGCTTAAGTAAATAAGTAGGTATAATATATATCTTATTTTTTTATCCGCGATTCAAAAAAAGTTCTCTCGAGAAGCTCGACAGCGCAGTGGATAACGCTGTCTGTTCTGTGGTCGATACAAAAGTTAAGCGATTTTCACAAGGGTCAATCGTAGGATGGGGGACCATAAAATTTATTATCTCAAGGTTCTCCGTCTGTTGGAAGGCATTGTTGAATGTTGGTTGAATCTGAAGTTAACACCCACCAATTCGCAATGGGCCTGACTGATGAGTCATAGAAAGGGAACGCCCTAGCAGGTTTTACTATGCTAGAGGACATTAATTGGTCAGTGACATACTATGTTTGAAAAAAAAAATATATGAAGTCTTTTAAAAATTTACTAACTGTTAATTTTTATACAAATTTATTCACGTGTTCTTCAAGATAAACAAACATTTTAACGATTCAAGGTGCTATATATAACTATAACTTTTAACGACTTTTTAATAAATAAGCATTTTAAATGAATTAATTTACATTTGATGAATTGGTTTTGATGAAGATGAAGTAATTGATTCTAAAAATTATTTACTTATTTTAAGCTTTAGTAAATTTTTAAATATTCTAGTAATCAAAACACATTATTATATCAAATTACCTTCCTTATAAATGAGGTAGACAATTTATTATAATAGTACCTACAGCAAGAATTTACATAGGTAGCTTGAAGTACTTACAAATCTTTTTGAAATTCATAAATATTCCGTCATAAGTGTTCTTACTGAATTAAAACAAAATGTTTAGATTTTTCAACAGAATTGCTACGCAAATAGCTGTTCAACCTTATAATAATTGACAGTCAATCGTCACAAGCAGTAGCGTAACTACAGGGTGACAAGTCGGCAAAATGCCACGGGCCCCCAGCTGGAAGGGGACCCGGTCTGATGAGACTCCTTACTCCTGACATTTATTATTACGCAATTAGTAAAAAAAAATGAATATCCGATGAATCTGTCACGAACCTCAAACGGTATAGTTACGCCGCTGGTCACAAGTACCTATAATGTAAGTAATATAGTATCTTCTTAAAGCAGAACTTTATGCTCTCTTATTTAATGAAATGTTCTCATTTAATATCAACACCATTAGTGGTCTTATTTGAAATTTATTGGCGAATATGTATACCGAATAACTCTAAACCGTCTAAGTTAAATTCTAAAAGTACCTACCTAACAGGATTTAAAGGTTCAAGGCTGTTAATCTTATCCAATCTAAGTACCTACTACTAATCATGATCCTGCGTGTGCGGACATTACTTTTGACAAAGCTACAGATTTAGGTCATCTGGCAATCAAAATAAATTATACAATATGCACCTGTATTATTTGTACCTAAAATATCTACATACATAGAAGGGAGGTATTTCTGTTTTATTTATGAAATTCCTAAAGTTCTTAATTCAAGAGTTTTTTGAAAGAAATCTGACTAAGTTCTAATCTACTCGCAATAGGTCTCACTTCTATGAGGAGTCGAGTTACTAAAAATTAGGTGTCCTATGAAGCGTGAACGAGCGGGAAACCAATATAAAACTGAGTTAATCCGGCTAAATGGACTTCAGGTGTTAATTACTACTTTGACAACTAACTAGTGGACTATAAGATCCAATATACATATCGAGAATATATTAATCTACAGTTCGACGACCTTTTCAGTTAAAAACATAAGTAGGAACAGCACGCGTAGCATCACGAATTCGAAAAAGAGCTATTTGTATATCAAATGCCAATTTTTCTCGGGACGAGAGTGAGATAGCGTATGGATTCATCGCCATCTTTTATTCAATTCATTTTACATGTAGAAATTAATTAATTTACTTGACATTGGCAGAATTGTGCGAAATGCGCAGATAAGCCAGTAATAAAAGAAAAAGAAGAGATATCGTATGGACGCACCCGAGGAAAGTGACATTTGGGTGTTGACAAAACGTTCTCGAATTCGTCATGCTACGCGTGAAGAACCTAATATTTACTTAGACAACAATCACTGCTGGATTAGCCCATAAACAAATTAAGCTATTTCGTCAGGCGTATTGTCTCACGACACTAACTTCACATCAGTGTCATGACACTCAATTCTATCTCACGACACTGACATTGAGTGTCGAGTCAAGGGCAACGCCATTAATTAAAAAGACGAAGAAGTAGTCTGAATGAGACTCACTGCCAAACTTCGCGATACTCGTTTTCTCTATACCTATAGTATTGTTTGAAGCAACATCTCTAGTTCTTTTAAAGCTACAGAGGACCAAGGGGGAAGTTAGACAGGTATTATGAATTTTCCAAAAAATCGTAAAATGAAGTTGTCAATGTCAATGTTCTTGACATCCAGTTCTTAAAACATTAATCGAATTGTGTTTTCATACTAAAATTCGAGGCATTATCGTATATATAACCCATCATCAGCCTATCAACATCCCCAATGCTGAAGCACAGAGTACTGGCGATTCCATCCTTTTCTACCCTATTCGAATCGAAATAGGGAGCCATGATCCTAGTGTGAATTGAGATAACATCTATGTACGTAGCTCATAACGCACGTGTTTCGATAACTAGTCAAATGGGAAATGGATCAACTCTCCCCACTATGAGGGACATATGATCAAAAGTCTGAGGAAACTCATTATCAGGGGTTTTAGTAATTTCTGTTTATTTTTTTAGTATCATCTTTCTATTAGAGTCTTTTGCGTAGTTTTACTTTCATATATTTATTATTTGGAATTAATAGGTACTTATCGTTATTCTCAAAAATTATAAAAACTATTCTAAATGTTATTTGCCTTCTGTTCACTCGTTTTATTAACATTTATAATATTGAATTGAGTGCAAGTAGTATTATGGCAAAAGAATCATCACCACAGATGGTACAATTAACCACTGATGTCTTCAACAAGAACAGTGGTTCAACTCTCCCGCATACATCACTTCGACATAAAATTTTCATTGCAGAAAAGGTATTCAATTACTGTTAAAAAAATTAACATACTTCAAACTAGAATAATCAGCAAACACGATAAAAATAATACACAATACTTACATCGATAAACACGGCCAGTATCTCAAAACTACTAATTATTTAAAATTTATTTTGTAGTGACCAAAACACTTTTCGCAACTTAAAAGCTAAGAAAACCAGGCATTTTGTGCAATAGTAACACATTATTGGTCTTCCATACATGATCTACGACTGTGTTAATGTTTCATTAGCTTGCAATTTACGTTGAATTTTGAGAAGTGGTTCAACTCTCCCATCTGGGCAAGTCTCCCGGACTCTCCCCACTGAATGTCGAGACTATGCGACATCGATAGATAGCGATCGCAAAGCTTACTTACCAGCTAGTCAATGATTTGAAGGAAACTAACGAATATCAATATACTTGTAGACTTGTAATAATTGTTAAAATACGATCGCCATGAGTTTCCGACCGAACTCGGTTAAATTGCAATTGTAAACTGTTAAGACTGCATTGCCAACTGTCGCCATCTTTGCTAGATTACAAACTATAAAAAAAACTTCCAAACATGTGAGTTGCACTAGATAAATATTTCTTTTTAGATATTCTGTTAGATAACCTATAAAATAACATACAAAAAAGTATAAATATATTTGTCAAATAAAACATAAAGATACGGTAACCACTTATTCATTTAATCCACTGTCTTTTTTTTTCAATCAAATTTCAACGTCATTACAATAACACATACCTATTGCTCAATGTCGAGCAATAACATAATAATGCATTAATTAAGTAAACGGAAATACATTTCCTGCACCCTGAGCACTAATCAAAATTAGCTAAGTGATACCACAATTAAAATCTAAATTAACATTTAAAAGAATTGTTTTACCAATTAGTATGTAATCGATTAAATGCACAATTGGAAATATGATCCTGATTTATTCAGAACAAGGTTGACTTATTAGTTTACAGCATTCAATAATTATTTAATCAATTAACAATAAATTTAAACTCAAAATTAAAGTATATGTTTATGACATAAATATAACATAATACATGATGTGTCTAACTCCCACTGAGAATGAGTGAGACATCACTACACCTATTGCGTATGTTACACACGTTAAAATTATTAAAATATGACTTAATATAAAAAAATGTACGTCCGGTTATATTTAATTGGAATTGGTAGATCTGTGAACTATTTGTCTAATTTCAAAATGTATGTATCACAACCACTTCAAAGATCCCTTCAAAGCGATTAGTGTAATCATATAACGTTTTAAGTCAAAATCGCTTTCGGAACGAATGTTGATTTTAATGATTAATAAACATATAGATTTCTTATATTTTCATGCGCACTATCCATAAATGAAACAACTTTTAAACAGTTTCATCACGTTTGTATTTTTATTAACCGTTCAAAAGTGTTTCATTTATGATCAATAAACGTAATAAAAACATGGTAATATTTGCGTCTAGCCCTTGCTTTAGACACTGTCACATAGCTATAGCGTGAAGTTCGTGAAAATGATTTAAATGTCAAAATAAAAGAAGTTGAAATGATTTTAAAATTACTCAATGAGACCTCTGCTCTGCGCAAAAGATTCACCATACGCCATATAAAAGTAGTCGTGACTGTTTCCGCACACACGCATCGACCGCACAACATGCTTCGGAATTATTTTCTCTAATGTCATACATTCTCTGCATTCGCATTTTTAATAAATGATTCTATGAGAAAAAGTTTTCTCTGTATAGCAACTCTATGGAAGTAATCCGCATGACGTTATCAGCATTTTCATTGCTCATATATTACGTATCGGCGGTGAGACCGGAGCGGATAGTGGATTGAGTGCTATACAAATTCATACAAAATAAAGAAAACGTGAGTGTCGAGCGGCCGATGCATGCGTGCAGACAATATAATAATGTTAACAATAACTAGATCAGAACAAAACATTATTAATTATGTATGTTACTGTTTTTATATAAATATCGGTTACCAAAAGCTAGACACAACAACATATCAGGTTACATCAAAATGTCAAATTACATTAACAGTTAATTCCAAAAGTAACAATAAATGTTGAACGAAGCTGTTAATATATTAAGGTTTAAAATCAACAGAGGACTTTATCAGTTTTTTATAACTTGATGTGGCATGTTCTTATTTCTAAATTTCACTAAATTATAATGATTTTACCGAAAATTTTCAACAAAATTGGAGGCAATATAGCTTAAAATAGATTGTCAATAAAATTCCGTACGATATATTAAGTTTACAATTAATAATTTAACTAAACAACAACATAAAAACGCCTTATGGCAAATAATCCTGATAGTAAAATAAATGTTGCAAGATCGAAGGTTGCAATAAACAAATCCACAGAATATCAATCATTATACATTATATAAAGAAAGTTATCAAATTAATTTAGCCCCTTACGATCGACGATTGATTGAAAATATGTATTTAATTTTACGAAGAGCACCATGCTATTTTCATTTATAGATTTAACAAGTTGTCCTACGTAGGCGACTAGTCGCGATCACCATGCGATACGACGCAAGGCAAAAATATCTGAATTACCACTTGAGGCTGTTCGGGAATGTGTTTTGTTCATAAGACTACGTTCCACCATAGATATTAGAGGAAGCCGAGAGGCGACACGACGCGTAACAACGCTGTGAGTATTTCCATCGGATGTCAAAGTAAGTTGACTGGTGTGATGTGTAACTGGTTCAAATTGTAGACTTTTTAAAAATCTATTTTATTTTATTTCGCATTTATTCTTTGCCTTTTTGGATGGATGGGTAGGGGAAGAGCCGGGATCCAACAAAGAGTTCGCCGGATCCCGTTAGTACTAGACCTGCGCTGAGCGTTAGAAAAATATTAATAAACAACCCTTCAAATCCTTCATTGGTTATGTAGGCTTAATTTTTTTTTCCTCTGAATTACCTTAACCTTCAGTTTTAGTTGGGTCCATCATTAATCGATAATGATTCTAAGCCTAATAGGGCAAATGAAATCGCTGCTAGGATCCGACCGCTTCGCATGCGTAGGACAAATCTGCGTCATTTTGATATCGCGTTATATTTACAATCGCATTAAAATCTAACGACCAACGTAGAATGCTATCTAAATGCAATTAACATCTTAATTATACAGAAATATGCTAATAAAAATATATCAAATACACAATGTGCTCTTTTACATGAATCTAAAACAGCTTTGCTATTCCCGTGAGCATATATAATATATATATAAAACATATAGCCTATATAACGTAATGATGATATAGCATTCTACCAGTGAAACAGTTTTTAAGTTGTGCCAATAGTTTTGCGTTTATATGTTACAAACAAAAACATAATATTTTTAAAGTAATGGCGCCTAAGAGGGCCCGTTTAGTTACTAAATACTTTCAAATTACATTCAATGTGTTCCGTGTAGTCAAACGACCGCAGGACTACAATGAAAACGTATTATAGTTGCAATAGGATACAAGATTTAAAAGATCTTAAGTATATTTTCGTTTAATTGAAATCTAATCAGTGTCATCATGTAAGTCATGGTTTTAATGGGAGGTCTCAAACAAGATATCACCTTTTCACATAAATATTCATTTTAACACCTAACTTTATGAGTCAGGAATTTTTTTGATGGTCCATTCCGCTGAGAATTTGTCATGTCATGTTAAACACATAGTAATCAAGTCAAATTGTAGTTACTTTACAAAGATTATTAATAACCAAGAACACGATATAAAAATCGAAATATCACAAATTTAACAATATGAAAAATCTTCAAAAATAAATGAGTGACAAAAATAATGAACCAGCCATGAGCTCCTAATAATAGTAATTCGCGTACTAACAATATGTTATATCGTTTCAGTCATCGATCGTCATATATATATATACATATATATATGTCGAAATATTTAAGTTTATATACACTTAGATTTCACGTTCACAACTTTAATCATTAAAATCAAAAGTGCCGATCAAAACTTTAAGTACAAAAATACAACAGATATTTTAAAATGGCACCCCGGTGTATTTATTGCAGAATTTATTAGTGAGTTACATTTTATTAATAAAATTATATTAAATCGAACGCAGAATCCATATCTATACTCGTATCGAATTTTCATAGGTACAATATAAATACGCTCACGTGGCTTTATAGTAAGATAAGCTTTATATGTTATAGATATAATGTAAGTAGAAATAAACTCATTTTTTGCGACCGCATCCCAAATAAAATATCGTGAAAGCTTTCGTTTAAGTACTATTTTATATGATTAAATAAATTTTGTTAACATAATATTACATTTTCCAAGTAAGTACAACAATATTTGGTCAAAAATCACACGAAATTAAAACGAATAAATATTTACAGTCGTAGATGGATAAATATAAGACAACAACACTTAATATACATTTTAGTTTATTTTCTCAACTAGAAAAAATTGTTGGAAAATCAGCTAATATCAACGTGTTGCCGAAATATTTTATTTTTTGATAATTTTATATTAATTAACGTGTATCTTATAATAAAATTATGTCTAGATTCATTCACACTATATACGAAGTCAAGAAAAAACGGTTCTAAAAAAAACACCACAAAATTATATAACCTTTTTTGATTGAAATATTTTAAGTTCACACTTATCACACTTATTAACTTCTGTTTTAAGTGGGGCATGGCATCTAGACATAATTTATAATCTAAGTTATATATTATTAAGTTTTTAAGTCTAATTATTTATACTGTACTTTCAAAACAAACCAAATTGTCGACTTTTTATATTTGATAAAATATATTCTTGTATCTTATCGGTTACCTACTTGACGCATAAAAATAATTCGTTCAACCGTAACATTTTAATCAACATCTAATTTAATAGGGAAATAATAAAAGCTAGTACACTGAGCTTTATTTTCTATTCTATTCATAGAAATAATAATATTCGTTGAAAATTACTTCTATCGACATTAGTAAAAAGTTTATCTAAAGATCCACTACCGAATCATCATAAATTTCTGCATCTAAAAATACATGCTCACCTACATGAAACCTCTCAATACAAAGGGCCATCTAAAAATATAGTAGAAAATTAATTTAAAATATAACTACTGTCGTACAAAGTACATTAAAACGATTCACGTCTCAGTGTAATTATATTTTATATTTATCCTTAAAAATCTTTAGATAAAACACATAAATTTAAATAAGAAAAATCATAATATTTATGTATACTAAATTAGAAAATGATAATTATAAAACTAAAATGATAATTAAATTTGAATTAAGTCTTAAGATCATACATAGTAGATTGTTTGGTCTAGTATACCGTGCTGCCTTTTATTAGTTCTATAAAATCCCTATAAATATATTAATAATGCTGATTGTTATTAAATATCAAGTCAAAAAGTTTAAATTGTCACAATAATTAAAATTTATTTTCTACTTAAGTAGACTTCACATTGACACCTAGTTGTCTTCGTGATGTCATGATTTATCTGTATATAGTTCATTTATAAATATACAATACCTACTTAATAAAAGTCATTCAAAATGTCATGATAGCTTGTGGCACTGGAGAAGAGAAGACATTAAGGAAGAAATCGTTACAGGGTTAATTTATATAACCACAATATTTTCTATGATTATACCTAAGCAAAAGTGTATATAAACGTAATCTATATTTTTATATCTTTCTAAATTGAACTGTAAGCTTAATTAACCGTTATAGCTATGTCTCCTTCTTTCATTAAACATATACGACTGAAAAGAGCGAGACAATTTGAATTCGAACCATCGAATATCGTTTGAATTAAAATAGCTTTAGTTAAGTCCCAAAACGAGTCGTTACAAATGATCAATATTAAATCTTACAACAATATACATTAAGGCGTTTATTCGACGAACCTGGCTATCTAACACTAAATCTGCACCACTTTTCTGCGTCTAGTAAATTGGAGAGCGTACTCGATGCCCCAAACTAGCACACAGGACATGATGAGTGCGTTCTGTACGTGAATACATACCGCAAAACTGCCTGTGTAGTCTCTTACGTAACCTATTTAAAAGAAATACAATTGCTTATCAAATCATCGGTAACTGTGTATAGTAGGTACATATAAAATATTATTAAACTTTAAACCAATATAAATCGGACATCAAATGCAGACACGAGACAAATTCTAAAAATCAAAATGAAAATGAATGAGAGTTTTCAACTTATTATCTATAATTCCGAGGTAAAGCTCCATTTGACTAGGCTATCAAACTTGCAAAATAAAATGGATAAAATTTAGTGAAATTTTCTAACAGCGTGTGTTATTTCCTTATCGAATATTTACCTTTTTTATTTTATGTACCACTATAAACTAGCTGTTTTCTAGCGACTTCGCCCGCGTAAATTATAGCATATGTCAACCGCGTATAATGTAGCTTTCCGTCGGTGGAAGAATTATTAAAACAAGGAAGTATTAAAAAAAAACGAAAGCACTAAAAAGCACCTCCACTAGATGGCGACTCTAGCAAAAGTTGATTTTTGCAGGAATCGAATAGACCAAACACAGTCATTTCCGTTCCTTTTAACTAACATATTAAAGAACTGAAATTTGAAAAGTTGGTAACTTAGATATCAATACAAATACGAAAAAGTGCAAACAGAATATGAGTTGTTTATTGAGTTTTGAAAACTAATTTATTTTTAAACATGAAAGAAAACCGAAAGGGTTGTCATAGAGAAATCAAGAACGTACCGTAGCGATATCAGAACTAATGTTTTTTTTTTTAATACTTCCTCATTGGTTTTGTACTTTTAGAGCCTATTGAATGTAAAAAAAAAAATTAAATAATTTCTTATTGTAAATATAAATATATATAAATGTTTATCTTACCGATTATTGGGCCGATAACAACAACGAAGACCCCTTTGCTAACCATATGCAGACCGAAGGCGGCCGGCAATTTCTCCAGGGGACAGTACTCTGATATAGTCAGCGTGAAGTTACTCAGACACATGCCACGGAAGAATCCGCAGATAGACAGCCAGATCATCAACGGCACCCATTCACTTTGCTCGGCTAGAACTGTTAACAATTTTTTTTTTTACTTCGAATCGAACAAAGGGATTTTTCGGTGAAAATTTAAACATTAGTATGCATATTGATAAAAAGTTAAAGTTAAGGTTGTCCATCAATTCAATTTATAATATTCCAAGGAATATTAAGTATTTTAGTTAACGAATTCGCGAATGTAAACATTTTAATACCTATATATTTTAATAAATTTAGCTTTACAATTACTTAACTCCTTACTATGATCACCTACTAATTATAGGTATCATCATCATCACCGGCCTATTAATATCTCTACCGCTGAGGCACAGACCTTCAATATGGACGGAATCGTATAAGGAGAATAGACCATGAACTACCACGATGGCCTTAAATGGATTGCCAACGGCTTAACATATCTTCCGAAGTACGAAGGAACTCGAGATGCTAAATTATTAGTCACCCATCCTATGACAGGCCAATACGATGATGCGGTAATAAAGAAACTAACGTGCTAACCGCTATGATTAAAGGTAATATAAAAAAAGTTCATTTTCTACATTAACCCGACTGGGAATCTAACCCGGCACCTCAGTAAGGGTGACACCTTGAAACCAGTGTACGAGCTACTCGGCTACGGATTTCGTCTTTCGCCTTCATATGAAGCGATTTATAAAGTTACTATATGAAATTTAGATCATAAAAATAGTCATTGTTATATCAAATTGATAGATCAATTCGCAAGCACGCTCGTAATATCACGTGACACAAACCAGTTTGTCTCGTGCCGAACATAACCATTGTTGCTATGCCTTTAATTTATTAGGTATCACGAGGCTTTTTCATTCGAACATGACTCACTAATGCTTTGACAACAATAACAAGGTAAAGCAAATTGAGGAAATAATCATTTATGGATTCGACTAAAAATAACTTTTATATTTTAGATCTTGGTTGTGGTTCGATTAATATCGATTAATATATTTAAAAATCACTGATAGATCTTTACCTTTAATATCGGACAATAAAAATATTATTATATTACTACTATTCGATTTGATTCGATTCCTTCTGTAGGGAAGACCTGAGCCCCAGCTGTGGGGACAATGATAGGCTGGTGATGATGATTAAAAATTAAACGATAAACTTCGAAATCCTATAGCTAAATCACTATACCTTTTAGTTTTACAGAAACGATTGACTAGAGTTAAAATGTTGTACGTAGATGAACATATATAAATGACTGAAGTTGTAACACTGCGGTTTCCAACATTTCTCTTTTTGCTTGCATTTGAACCTTGTTATATTGATTTTAGAAGTATTTTTTTTTTCTATTCGCATTTTATATCTTTAAATATTGGCACATTGGCACCTAAGATTATTTATACTGTAATCTAATATTGGCACATATTATGTGAAAATAATGTTTTTAAGGTCAATTCATAAGTTCGTTTATTTATGAAATCAAAGAAAATCAGTTCTGCCTTTGGTATATCTCAATAATAACATTTGTTAAATATGTTTTGTGAATGAATATATTGTCAAGTTTGATAATAACGCGATTAATGAATTAATTTCCTAAGAAATTAAATTAACTTAACCCTATTCGTCAGGTTAATAATATGACATAGTCATGAGAAACAGAATAACTTAATTAAACAAAGCAAATAATAAAACATGATAGGAACTTAATTCTTGCAATTTTTATAATTTATATACTTTTTTTTTTCTTTGAAATTAATAAATCCAATAATAAACTACTCTAGCTTACTTATTATTTCGAACCCACTACCGCTTTAAAACTAATCAACGTGTCAAAACAATCAACTCACCTGATCTAGTTGCCGCTAAAAAGAACGCAGATATGAAAAATATCATTTTCTTGGATATAGTAGTTCTATCAAATATAGGGGGTAGTATCAACCGCACCAATATATCAGTTATGGCTGTCATGGAGAGGCAAAACGCCGTGTCGTTCATGTTATACCCCAAGCTTCTTATAAAAAATGGTGTCAACATCCTAAATTGTAACTCTCCACTCCAAAAAAGTGAGAGACCTAGTAAAAGGTTCAAAAACGACCAGTCTTTCAGTAGATCTAAGTCCATTAGCGCTATAAACTTCTTCAAAAAACCTTTCTTTTTTTCTTCCTCTGGTTCGGATTTTTTTATTGCTTTCATTTGTATAGCTTCTTCGTCAGCTGTCTGTAAACAATGATAAGTAATATTTTAAACATAAATAATTATATTTCAATTATTAATTTAATAAGGGACAGAAACATCGAGAATTATTAGTCTCTTGGTGTAGATGTGATGAGAAAAATAATTGACTTGCACAAAGAACCTCGATTATCCAAACTCTGACTGAGTTTATCCGAACGTAAGTGCGAAATTATCTCTGCATAGGTTGGTACTGCCACTTGGTTCTAGCTCGCTTTATAGTAGCGTTTATAGTAGTTTTACTGTCAGCAGTTTTGATGTAATGTACTGTTTTAATGTAAAAAAGTATCTAGTCCCATAAATACCCACATTTGATCATCCGAACTGGTCTCGGTCCCAATTCAAGGGAAATTTCAGGAGAATAAAACCAAAGAAATTATTGTAAAAGTAAATGAAAGATGATAAAGGTAAGGAAATAATAATTGTTCAAATAACATCAGGAAGACGGGAAGATTAAAGCAAAAAAATAAAAAATTGCACTGACTGCAAACTTCCTACAGGTTACTATAACGGAAAACGGAAAAAATCATATTAGCTATATTTTAATATATAACATTGTCAGCATTTATTAACATGTTGCCAAAAATCGATCATCAGTTTGTTGCAGTATCACAAATAGATAGCTTTTAAAGACATCTTTTGTGTTCTTAATCTCTAATGTTGATTTTTTTTTTATTTAAGATTGAATATGATTTCTAGGCTTATAATTGTCGAAAACAATTTTAGATAACTAAAGTCTGTAACGGTTGTAAACGAAGTGCAAAAAAAACTCAATTTTGTGTGGGTAAATTTTATGTGTAAAGATAATAATTGATTTGAGTTCACCTTAACGTCAAACGAAACGGAACCGACCTATCATTGTCCAAAAGAAATCGTATATTTGGACACTTGCAGACAAAGCTGATTTTTCGACCGAAGACTTGAAATTGTGTTTTTACATTTCTGAGGGCTCCGTATTTTTATATGAGATTAGAATGTAGTATATAATGAATGTAATGTAGTATCACTCGGTGTAACGTATAGAAACGAACCTATTTGAAACATGGCAGCCTGTTTAAAGGCGTAAATCGGAAAATTTAAAAAAAAGGTTCATTAACTATATTACGTATGTGACATATCAAATTCAAGGACTTATTGTGTGTGAAAATAGTTCTATGTGAAAATAGTTATATACATTAATAAAGCCTATAACATAAATAAATGCCCATACAATAAAGCCTATGAGATTTTAAAGTTTTAATATTTGTGCAAAAACAAAAACGCGCGCGAGGCCAATTCGCTATTGGCCGGTTTCATTAATTGATCGTACCGTGTAACCAGTTAGAACAAAATCAGTTCTTTAATCTTACGTGATAGGCGGTAACTTTAATTTTACGAGCATTAAATACACATCATCTGTGAAATTCGATTAGTTACGCAGTAAACAAACTCCTATTTCAAACGTTAAGCGCAACAACAAAAGACTGTACAACACACCACATTGTACAACAAAAATAACGTATTCGATTGAGCAAAAAATACAAATTATTTGTTTATTTATAAATCGTAACTACAAGATGTATATATGTAGGTACTAGCTTTCGCCAGCGGCTTTGCCCGCGTGGTCCCTAGAGTAATGTTTAGTGGGATATCCTATTATCTAAGTCAGCGAATACCCTATATGTATCCAAATTTCATCAAAATCCGTTCATTAGTTTCGGCGTGATTGACGGACAAACATCCAAACAAAGAATTTTTCACATTAATAATATTAATAGGATTACTAAAATATTATCGGATTATTCTATTGCATAATATAAAACGCAATCGACAATTTGTTATTATGTCACTATAATCTATAGCATTATTCCTTCATTGTTATATAATATTTCTACAACATTTACATGCTCAACATGATCTGCGGAAGTTAACCGCAAATTGTCATTTATTAGATTCGGTGGTGGCGATAATTCTGAGACCACGATGAAACTCAATAAAAAAACTTGTATTAAGCATTCACTTAGTTGCTTAAAATCAAAAATGTTAAGTTTTCATGCTATTAACTATACTTTGACACTTTTTTAATGTCAGTTACCTTTTCGTTGGGCGATTCTTCTTCCAGAAACTAAAATAAATATGAACCAAAAATTAAATCCAGTTCTTCTTTAAGTTCAATTCTCGTTAAATATCAATTATCTATAAAATAATTAATACAGACTTTTTTTCAATGCATTGATAAAAAAATACACAATTTTATAGCAACAAAATGATATTACTCAGTAGTTACAACACAGTTCTTTCTATATGTGCGTCATAGTTAAGAGCCCTATTAAGACTGACTTTTGCGTAAAATGACCAATTTTGACATCCTTGATTTCGGAATGAAAAATAATTTCGACATATTGAATAATGCAGAATAACTATTGACAGTTTTCGGGGGCTGCCTTTTTTGTAAATTGTGCTTAACTTCTTAATGAAACCCAAATATATATATATAGGTATAATGCACTATGGCACTTTTTTGAGCTACTGGTCTAAACATTTGAAATACAATTGTTAAAATAAAAGAAATCTTATTATCAACCAAAATCTTAGAAATTAGTTTTTCTTTAAATAAACTATAAATATCTCTTATCTACAATATTATTATTTAACAAAATTTGTTCCAATATTTATTTAGTTATTCATAATTTTCAAGCACAAATTTAGTACCCTATTTCAATAAACACGATAATTATTTAACTGCAAGATTACTACAAAACACGATGCACCGGCCGTCCAAGCTCAGTTAGTTCGGCCGTGTAGTTTGTTTGTATGTAACTGTAATAGGCCTCTTAAAGCCCTTAACTAATAAAAAAATAAAAAAGGTGCAATACCTACATCTAGGTACAGCTGCAAATAGCTGCCCGTGAAGTCCATATTTGATATGTTAGATATAACAGACGCTTTCCTCTTGCGCGCCGCCTCACTCATGCTCCCGCTAGATGTCACACGAGGCATAGCCGCAACAGAAGCGGCGGTGGTCAATCCAAGAAATTTCGAATGTTTCTCGAATTCCGGTAACGGCTTATCGCACGTCTTCGCACGCGGCATGCCTACAGTGCGGACCGACGGATGGTTCATGTTGCTATGTGACCGCTGTGGCGTCAGTTTCGTCATCGGATGAGATACGAGGGGATTAATCTCGAATTTGTCTTCCGCTTCTTCGTCGCTTTCGAGTATGCACTCCATTTCCTGGAAGATCATAGAACTGAGTCTTACAAGTAGACTTTGTAAAAACACTAAATTAGATTGAATTTATCGTCTTTTTTTCATCCCATCCTAATGATTATTACATAAAATAACCGTCATTCTAGATAAAAGGTTACTTAATTTTTAATAAATCATTTAAATTTACTAAATTTATCTCAGCAAAAATTTCACGTATAAGTGCTGGCTTCGTCCCTCGTCCTCGAAAGTAATTCCTCAAACTTTTCACTTTTTTGATGTATCACATAAACATACAATCGAGACTTTCATTCCTACCTCGAATAACTCACCTTAACCTGCTGCATTTCACAATCAACAGGCACCTCTTTCAAATGCCTTTTTACTGGTTGGAGTAAACAAGAGCCCAATACAGCATGGAAGGCCAATGCACCCAATATGACTACTGTCCATCTAAATCCATATTCTCCTAATAAGAGTTTGACCAACTGTGGCATAACCATCAAGCCAAAACCGGTACCCGCCATGGACAGACCCACCGCTTGACCGCGCTTTTTGGAGAAGTAATGATTTAACGATACGAAGGAAGACGAAGATGCTAAGCCCACTCCGAAGCCTGAAAATAAAAGGTTTTTATCAGATAAACAGTATATCTAATACCTAAACGAGCAATTCTTCTAATTTATACAATATATATGAAAACCCTACAATATCAATTAGCAGAAATAAGCGTGAGTAAATTGTATGACCGTGCTTTGCTCGGTATTGTTTTATGGTAAATGAAACCTAGCTAGATCGATTTGTCGCCTCCGAAACCCACGGTATACTAAATTTTATGAACATCTTTAGAGCATCACAGGAGATTTATATTTAACAAATCATATAGCATTTAGGTCACAAATAATCATACTGTTCGACAAGGCGAATTGTCAGTATTATATCGAGACGGTTAAAGGTTAAACAATACAATCGACATTTTTTCGAGACTGAGTTGACAAATACATATTTGGAATCGGTCTAGATTCTAAGGCAAAACTTTGCATGTCAAAATAATATTATGTATAGTATAACCGCAAATGGAATAAACTTCATTTAGCAGAAAATCACTTGAATTGGCATACACTCGATATAGAATGATTTGTGCAAAAACCGGTGTTTTGTAAGACTTACATCGCAATAAGTAAGTTAGCTTGTTTTGTTTTAGAAGCTTGTTTTCGCCGTTATGACAGTGCGTCTTGTGAAATTACTCCAAATGAAATTTTGTATTTTTCTTGCTGTATCAATGACATGAGAATGAGAATTATACTAAAAAAATCGGTTATCTTAATAGTACACCATGTGTAAATTCGCACATTCAAACATTCGGACGAACAATAATTATGCTAAATATTCTTCAAAAGAAAATTATCCCAAATGTATTATGCTAAATAAGTTTCAGGAAATTGCGAATCTAGCAGATGAGGAAACTAATTTAGAATCAGCAAATTCCACTGAATTCAAATATTTAATGTAATTATTATGTTAAAAATTTAAATGTAAATTTGATGATGATTCTAGTTGGTCGAAATAAATAATACTCATTATTATTAAATATACATATAACTCAATATCGATAAAAATATCAGTTAGATCAATAAGCCTACTGATGAAATGATGCAACCAATCTTCATGGTGCCAAATCATGGCAAATTGCCAGCCTTTCGCTTACGGTGAGAGTGATAAAATATTTTATATTTTTTTTTCTCATTTATATAGTAAATCACTAATAACATGTGTTTATGTGTAATTAAATAGTAATCGTCGTCGTCGTAACTTCATTTTATTATAATGTTATTAGCTGTAAAATTTGATGAATGTCTTTTGTTTCATTCATTAAATTAATGTACAGGGTACTAGTTTTTAAACTACTATAAAATTCCCTAGTTGGCTGATGATAGATAAAGAAGTGGATTTATTCCTTTTTAAGTGTCAATTAAAAATGTTGTATCATATTAATGTGATATAATGTGTTTGACATTTATTTTGTTGACATTTCATTTTGCAACAGCTATATACGTTTTATTAAGGTCGCGGCAAATGTATTTGACCTAAGTAATCTCATTAAATTGAAATCGCTTTCTGCATAAGTACTGACTGAAACCTTGTTAATTCAAAAGACAATTTGAAGCTAGCATGTTCTTTGTAACTAACACACCCTTTTGGAGAAAATAACGTTGGTTGACCAGTGACTCGGCAACAATTTTAACTAACTATTGAATGTCATAAAATGTATAATTTCAATTACTTCATAATAATACTGGCTAGCCTGGCGTAATTATACGGCGAACTTCGTACAGCCTCAAAATTATATAATGTGTTAGAGAAACCAAAATCGGTCCAACCGTTCTCGAGTTTGACGAATGTAATTTCATTTTTTTATAAACTCGTTAAAAAGCATTAATCTTCTTCAGTTTTTATATATGACAGAAGGTAATTTTAAGTAATATTTTCAAAAGATTACTCATCATTAAAGCAGGGATGATTTGGTGACATACACAACCTTAAGTTTCAGAACAAAGTGCAATATCAACCAAGTCAAAGTCAAATTGCAATGGAAATACCAACAATCACAATGGCTAACCGCGTTACAAATTGCTACAAACGGTACAAACGTACTTACGTCACTTTAACGGCATATTAACATAAATAAAACAGATGACACAATGAATAATACAATGACACAATATTTTATTTATTATCGCAGCGAACAGTTGAAAAACCAATATATCCAAATTTACTGCGGGATATTATCATTTAGGTATATCACTATTATTTAATAGTTCTCTTTGTTTATGCTACAAGAGGTTCCGTGTGAAAGTATGTATTGTGTGCATAACCTTGACCTTGCCTTGAATTTAAAAATAGGCAAGTTTTAAAAATAGACATTAAAGAAGGTTTAATAACACTTAAATTAATTATTTAGCAACATATTTTCCCTCTTAAGTGTTCGGAGAAATGAGGTAATTGTTGTGCACAGGTTTTTTGCTGCTATGTTAATAACAGGAAACGAAACATTCAAAGAACATGAAATATTTGCTTTACTCTTAAGACTATTAATTTATATATCTTAATATATATTTATGCTCTAAAGAGACCACTCTCCTATTTTTTTGTCTTACCTTAGTGTCATCATCATGTGTCGGAAAACCCGTTAGATGGCGTAACCATGTAAACGCGATGTAGGTCATATAATAAATAAAATAGATCATGAAGGAGATTAATAATATATTTTCATTAAAGTCAACAGTATGTTGCTAAGCGACTTCAAACCCCTTATTTGGTTTTTTTGACTCTTGGCTATTTTAGTACTTTAACGCTAGTACGTTAACACTGATGCAATTGATTCGAATTTTTTTTAAAAACATTTCATCAGAATTGAGGATTCAGTCGAAAATTTTTACACGTTAAGTACCTACCTATTTCTAATAAAAAAAAAATTAGTCCACAATAAAACGTACGATCTTTCGTAAATCTTTTTATATAGTTTTTACAAATATGCAAACAATAATAAATAAAATAAATTATGAAATATGTTGTTCCTATGCTCAGTTCCGAATAACATACAAATACCTACCCGAAAATTCTCCGACTTTTCTTTCCAACTAACCCTCTCTTTTCCTGGTAATCAATATTAACCTGTCTTATGATACCTACAATATGTTTTTCGTACGGACGACCAGACACGTCCGCCGCCGCGGTACAAAGTCCGAAATGTAAACGAATCAATCCAACAAAAAAGATCTCGCTAGAGGAACGGTTACAAGAACGTCTGTAAAAATAATCTCGGCAATTCCGTTTTTCATTAAGCCGCAATCTTTCTAATTAACGATATAATAATAATGATTCTTTCGTTATTTCACAAGATGTAAACGAATTTTCATATCGTCGTACCTTATACCTTTAAACAAGCAATGTATATGGGAAGCAGCTCCAACGATTTTCATGGATTATGGTATGCAGGTAGTTCCGAGGATGATAAATGGATATAACTGGGTTTCATTTACCAAAAAAAAAATAAGCTATGAACGAGCTACCAGGTACAATACATCTTTAATTAAGAATGATTTTTCATTTGAAATACTGCACTAAAAAAATCTCCGAGACGATTAAACAATCACAATGAAAACAACATAAGTATCATGCTACCCTAAAATTCTAAAAATGCGAAGATTTTATTAATTTATCAGCATTGTATTTTAAAATACTCACCTCCTAAAGTACTATAAGTAGCCAATATATGGCCCATACTGTTCGCTGGGGCGGTGAACAAAAGCCCAAGCGCACATATCATTGATCCAACAAAACACACTTTTCGGTAGGAGAAAGTCTTTATAACAGGCCCGACGAAGAACCCAGAGAAGTTGACGACGGAGTCCAATGTACTTGCGATAACAGATGCACCAGTGGTATGCACGCCGAGATCATCCAGCAAGTCTTTGAAGAGAAGACCAAACGATGGCTCCAGGGAGCGGGTAGAAAACTGTGGAAACCATATTAAAATAAAAGTCTCAATATAATGCAATAAAATTTTAAAAATAGACTAGTGGACTAAAAGTATTTGTATATGATATAGCTAACTAGACTTGCGAGGTTCTTAGTGTTTTACATTTTGTTTAATATCTTCATCATTCTTTTATTGTTTAACCCTAGAATGGAATCAAGAACTAATTTCATTAATTATTGTTAATAAAAAATCAGTTTATATCAAAGATATCAAATACATACAACTTTTTGTCTTTAAAGTAGTTCAAAAAATAATATATTAAAAATCACTTGTTTCATCATTGTATTGTTAGTTTCAAATAGTAACTCTACTACTAATTCTTGACAATTAGATAATGAATAACGAACCCTAGCTAATTTAAGACGGCTCCTTTCAATCTCAGAATCTATAGTTACAGTAGTATTTAGTGAAACACAATAGAGAGCCACTTAAAGTTCTTACACTAATTGGGGACAAGTACGGACTAAAGAGCTCTTCCTTTAAGTGTCATGGGAAAAATAAAAACCATCAAGTGAATTACCCTGTTTCACAATTCACCGAGTTTATATATCTATTTAAATGCAAACGAAAACATCACAACATGACTCGTTGCTATATCATTAATCATATGACAATTAGTCATATGTGTAGCAATGATAATTTTTGCCTTCAAGTACTATTGAGATCGACCTACGCTATCGTAAACAAAACATTGTTAAATAAGTGTTGTAAAACAAGCGATATTATCGCTTGCAATGCAATGAGAGATGCATACGAGGCAATGCACAAAAAGATAATAAGAAAATGGGGTCATAAAAGACAACATGGTAATAAAGCTTTCAACTAATATTAAAAACAAACAAATGATACCCAGACATATTTTACAATTTGTGTAATACAAATGTTTTGTCAAAAAAAAATCTATTATATTTTCATTTATCTGATCGTTTATTTCTTGGTTATCAGTAAATGTTAGACTATTATCAAAAATACTTACATTAACTAAACTAACACCTAAACAGACCATCCACGCCCAGCCACCGTCAGGTGCGACCTTCTTGGTAGCTGGTGGCATTTTGGCGAAATGCCCTTTGGTCTTCTCCGCCGTCATTGTAAGCTTTTGTCACCTGTGCGTCTGGAACAAAGGAATTAATATATATATGATGATATAAGTTATTAGTAATGTAAACTTCATTCTTCAATGCCCGACTTAATGACACAGCACGCTTAACAAGATTCACATTATGCTACCTAGACATCTGTTTATGACATTTCATTATTCATACTACAGTCAACAAACTCACGAGATAGCTACAGTAAGTCGCAATATCGTTTCTCATTTTAACACATTGAAAACAGAGCATCACAGAATTGAAAAATATTTAGACCACCATCAAAAAGAATTAGAACACAAAATAACAATGTTAAACTGGTTATGAAATTACCAAGAGTAATTAGTTTTTTACATGCCAAAGAAATACTTGATATGTTTTCTTTTATATTTGAGATCAACAATATTTAATGTTTCAAACTTAACAGTAAGCATTTTGCAGGTAATAAACTTTGAAAAACAATGTTACATGTTCATGAGCGATGGTACATATAGATACATTAATATCATGCCATCACCACGTGTTGGCAGTTTCGAAGACACAGATGTCAAATAAAAATTGGCGATTATTAAAGACGCTAAGTGGAATATAATTATGGGCATCTAACAGTACATGAGGTGGAGATGGTACAACCTGTAGCTTATGTTCTACTTAATGAAAATAAATAACTTGTAAACGAGACTAAACAATAATTGTTCCCCTCAGAGCTAGATGTTGCTAGCCCCAGATCAGATAATTGATAACAAACAAAGTAGTTTTCTTTGAACAAACCCTACAAAACACTAAGGAAGTTGGCATATTACACCTTTTGCCATCCATCCAATGACTAGCCTTTAGGAAATCTGCCCAAATGTGTCGTTTATTATAGGATTAAACTCTTCACATTTAATGTAACGAATATTTTTGTTGCTAAATACTACACAAAACCAAATTATAATAATATTCAGGTCATGTATATGGTACATCTGTTTGTAACCAAATGTATATTCACAAAAACAGAACAGAACGACGGTATTATCACGGTATTTGATTTTCCTTGGCGTATCAGACGGAACAATTAACATAACGCAGACTTTATTCAAATATAGGTAATAAAAAATATTCATAGGAACACTGATCCGAATATTTTTGTTGGTTTAATTTCTATATATAACTGATACTTATAATACGATATATGTTTCTCAGGGAAATGAGTTAAATATAATATCACAACTTTTATGGCGGTCATTCAGTTCAGTATTAGGTTTGTTCGATTACAAATATCTCAGAATGTTAATATATAGCATACATGATAATAATATAACAATCACAAGAAAAAGGAATAGCTGCTCTTCCAGGCAACCTATGAAGTGAAATAAATATTGAAAAATAATATGCGGAGATGGGTGCAATATGTAGAATACTAACGACGCTAAGTAGAAAATATATATATTAAACAAAATATGTATATATATCTTAAAAAATTTAAAAGAAATAGAACAAGACATATTTTGCTTACATGATGCTAATGCATAACGTCTATTATAAAAATACAAAGTTGTAGTTTATCTGGCAGATAAGCTACTAATAGACTATCAGGGACTTTATCAGCAACTGGTGAAACCGGCCCTTAGTCACCAACTCAGTTAACGGCTGATTACTGGTTCACGCCGCATGTGAGACAGTTTTTCTATCATCTATCTATGTATGTATAAGTTCATACCGAATCCCCTGCGAGGTAGGGCAGCTGAATTATTAAGAACTCTTTTTTACATTAAAATTATATAACCATACAAGAAACTAAAACAGGGTTATTTCTAAATGTATCACGTTTTGTAGGATTGTGGATTACCATCACGTTTCGTTATTATTAGAAATAATTTCCTTCGTAATGCTTGTGAGAAAAATTTGTCACGGGGATTTACATTATATGTTTTAAAACAAATATTTGATATTTCCGTGAAGTCAGAGTACTTTTTAGGTACGGAAACTAAAATTAACATGAAATGCGAATTGTCAACCAGACATCGGATTAATAAGTTTTAATATTGTTATTACTGCTGATCTACAAAAACTTAAATCCAAACCTAAATCAAGGTAATTTCGAAATGTATTATTGTAATTTAATTAGATAGCTGTAAAGTTCAATAGGAAACTGTAATAGATATAAGTATTTTACAAAACTAGTCGACGATATTTTATTATTAATTCAATTAGCAAATTATTACTAATAATAAACATAGAAGCCGAAGAAAAAAGTTTTTTAAAGCAAACTTAAAATTCGCAATGAATCCAAAATTACAAGGCACTCATATACATAATAGACTTTTCAAGAAAATAACGGTGATTTCAGATTAGTTGGTATATAAAATCTACCGTTATCGTAATAAGAATTATAAAGAGTTATGAGATATATTATAGAAGGCAAATACATATGTTCTTTTATAGTAACATAAGGAAATAAGAAAATAATTTAATTTTCTGGCACTTTACAACAAAGAATCCTATTAATATTATAAAGGCGAAAGTTTGTAAGTATGGATGTATGGATGTTTGTTACTCTTTCACGAAAAAACTACTGGACGGATTTGGATAAAACTTTACAGCAATATAGGTTATACATCAGAATAACACATAGGGTACTTTTTACTGGGAAAACTTCTCACTCCCACGGGATACCGACTTCCACGCGGACGAAGTCGCGGGCGTCCACTAGTAACACAATATTTTGGACGAGCAGTAAACAGAAATCAGATTTTTAACAGCTGGCACAGTAGTAGACAGAAATAACTGAATGCGTGTAACAGTGACCTTGAGACATCTTAATTGATCCCACGGGAAACAGAAATTAAACGAAATAGTGTTGACAAGAAAGTAGCCGAGGGAATTATGAAGCAATTTTACAATAATAGAAATTATTTGTAAGTAATTAATTAAAAAACAGTTTTTGGCGTCCAATTCGCCATCTTCCCTTTCTATTTGATTGCCGGGCGCAATGACAGACAGGGATAGTGTATTACCTCCTCAACGGCGAATTTACAAGGGTTCCTTGCTTAATACGAAACTCTAAAAATATAGTAACTGTGTATTTAAAAAATATATATTTAATTCACGCACCTTGTCCTAGTTCGGTAGAGAACTAGGTATAAAACAAAATAATCATAAATTCGCTTTATCAATATATTAAAAAGTTATTAAGCTTTTAGAGATAACATTTCAATGACTATCTACCGACACGAATTCGCGCATTATTTTATTGTTTGCCAATACATTATGTTAATCTAATTATCTCACTTGATGATTACATTTCAAAACTGTCCTGGGCTGGAGGAAAAATAATTAAATAACACCGAGAAATATAAGTCCTCTATATATAGGTATAAAAGATAAATTAAAAAAAAAATGGTATTAATATAGTATTCTAAGATTTGTATTTATATAGATAGTACATATTTATTAACTACAACTTAGCGTGGTCTCCATACCACAAAGTTAGACATATAAATGAGGATTCACCTTGAAAAAACTAAGATGAATGACTGTGTTTCGAAATTGCCGATTTGCTACTCTTAATTTGATGAAAAAATACGTTTTGAAGAATTCTCGTCGGAAATAGCTGTATAAATTTATGAATGGTTCTCAAATATGAATCATTTAATGTATACTTCACCCCTATGGGATAAAATTTGTGATTGACAGTGCCATGCTGATGCCAAATGTAAGGTGCTATCTTAGTATTTTTTATTTATTCCTATAAAATAATATTAATTTTGATAATAAGGCAAATAATACAATCAAAAATTCTACCCATCGATATTAATGAATTTGGAGATAGCATGGAACGGATATCATTTTGTTCTTGATTCTGTTGATCTAAAAGAGAGTAATAGAGATTTCAGTTGCGAAAATTTAAAATTAATGAAATAAAATTGAATGGCGAAATATCTGCACGGAGATCTCGATTAAAAAAACTTGCCGCAGCAACAGTCGCGGGCGATAACCTGCGCTGATGTCAGAGGGAGCAAAAAACTGCACACACACCCATCCATCAAGATTGCGAGTCTTACTAAGTGTTAACAGTGCCCTCGGTGGACGGAAATTCTAATGGAATATCTAATTGTAATTGCATTACAAATACTTCAATTTTATTACGATAATTTATTCCATTATCATGCGTCCCTTGCACGCTACTACACATACTATGTCTTACTCAAGAGAATTTTCGTGTTGCGAAATAGTTAAAACACTGCAGAATCTTTGGAAATAGAGAAAAACAGATATTTATAGACAGGTTTTTCGATAGAAACAATGTTAATTATGTAAAAATGAAATATCAAAATTATATTTATTAGTTAAAAACGATAATGCCGTATGCTTGTGATGTTGCTTGACAATCATCGGGCACGATGTAGAAACTAAAATTTAAACTAATATGATTAAACAAATTGTATACGATAATATTTGATATAAATTTAAATATAATGATAATGAATTAAAACAAATTGGCGGGTTTCTTGTCGTTCTTCTCAGTACAAGGTCCCAACGTAGATGAACCGATGAAATACCTTATATTCTGACACAAAATTCTTGTTACAGTTACAACTTATACTCAATAATAATTGAGAAGAATTAAATTTTGTCAATAAAATGGCCGTAAACATTTCCGTAATTGCCGGATTTCAGAACCTATTCTATTGTAAATTAGAAATCTTGAATCAGATTAACTTACCGCGTAGGGCAGAATTTAAGACAATCAATACCACTCTGACGATCAGACTTTAAGTAAGTACACGCAAACAGATAAGCTAGACTTACCTACCTCGTAATAAAACAAAACGTAACAAACTATGATACGATTATAAAAATACTTTAGCAAATATCTCGGGTCAACTAACTAGATTTTGCAATCTATACAAATAAATAACATACATTTTGTTATCTTCTCGTACACAAATCACGTGAAAAGCAGTTGACACTATCGATATTTGATGACGACATACGAGTGAAGATAGCTAGCCACTTGTGTGGTAATATTTACAATATTGTACGAAGTACTTGGGATATATTCTATTAAAAGGTTATGAAATCGACGTAAACTACGTCGATTAATTCAGTACCTATCTTTCTGTGAAAGCAGCTATGCAACCTTGTTATAGAT